TCTATCAGTTGAGCCATGCCCCTAGTTCATTTTGCTTTACTTTTTAGGTAGGGTCTTCCTTTTGCCCAAGCTGGCCTTGGACTTCCATCCTCCTACCTCTGCCTCACAAGGAGCTGGGATCACAGACTTGTGCCACCATATCTGACTTGAGACAGGGTCATGCTAACATTTTTCTGGGGCTGGCCTTGACCCACAACCCTCCTATCTCCCCATCTCCAAGGTAGCTGGGACTACAGGCATGAGCCACTTTGCCCAGCCCAATGATCTTTCAAAAATAATTTTTTAAACTCAAAAAATGAAAATGCTTTTTAAAGCTCATGCTTTAAAAGGAAGAATATAGCCAGGCGCTGGTAGCTTACACCTGTAATCCTAGCTACTTGGGAGGCAGAGATCAGGAGGATCACAGTTTGAAGCCAATCCAGGCAAATAGTTCCAAGACCCTATCTTGAAAATACCCAACACAAAACAGAGCTGGCGGAGACCTCAAGTGGTACAGCACATGCCTAGTAAGTGTGAGGCCTGAGTTCAAACACCAGTACCACCAAAAAAATTAAAATAAGAATAAAGTGACATCTGGGTGTGGTGGTGCACACCTATAATTTCAGCATTTGGGATGCAGAGCATTGAGAAGCTCACCAGTACTACATAACAAGACCCTGTCACCAAAAAAAGGAAAAAAAAAAAAAGATTTAATGATGCAAGCTAATTTATATTTTAAACATAGGGCTGAGAGTCTAGGCTTGCCTAGCATGTTTGAGCCCTGGATTCGACCTCCAGTATTGCAAAAAAAAAAAAAAAAAAAAAGGGCTGATGGTGTGGCTCAAGTGGTGGAGGCCTTGAGTTCAAATCCCAGTACTGTCAAAAAAAATTTACAGATCTAAAATACAAACAACATTAACACTACACTCCACTTTAAGGGTGGGCAAATTATGACTTGCAATCTTTTTTCCCCAGTACATCTGTTAAGGATGGCTTTTATGCTTTTTTTTGGTGGTACTGGGGTTTGAACTCAGGGCCTAGACCTTGAGTCACTCCACCAGCCCTTTTTTGTAATGGGTTTTTTTTTCAAGATAGGGTCTGAAGCCCAGGCTGGCTTCAGGCTAGCTTTGGACTTCAATCTTCCTGATCTCTGCCTCCTGAGTAGCTAGGATTACAAGCATGAGCCAATGGTGCCTGGCTTGATTGTTATTTTTGAGTACATTCTTTCTCCTTGGGCAAAACAGTTTACTGTAATGTACTGTGTTTGTTATATGAGTACTTGCATAGAAAGCACTAGGCCCTGAGTCAAACGCCAGTACGATCCCCCCAGAAAAAATTATATATGATACTAAACATGTAGCCACCAAGCCTAAAATATTTATTATTCTTCACTTTACAGAAAAAACCTTCCAATTTCATAATGGAATTTTACATCTCTCACTAAACTTAAGCATAGTAACATTTTTAAATTTACATTTAAGGCAATTGTATGATTTTCCTTTCCACCCTTCACTCCTCTCTTCCCTGCCTAGTTTGTCTCTTAACTTACTAGCTATTTTTTTTTCCATAGAAGTATTTTTGTAAATATTTATTGCAATATCCTGCGGGGAGGGACTAAAAAACTTAGAGACTGACAAAGCCGAACTTCAACTTAATGACAAGAATTCTGTCATAAGCATTTTCCAACAATGAGCTAAGTTCCATAATGAATTAGTAAATTAGTAAACTGGGACTATGTTGACCAGAACCCATGACTTATACCAACTTCTCCATCTGCAGACATCTGATATTGAGGGAAGGGAGAAAGCTAACACTTCCCAGTGCTAACTAACTAAACTGATTAAAAGCAGCTGGAATACTACACACCTAGCTTCAAGAACAAACAGGTATGAAAGAGTGACTTAGGACTAAATTTAATAAATGTCTGAGACATCTGTGGATATAACAAAGTTCTTCACTACTTAAATAATGCCAAATGCCATCAAGAAGGTGTAAGTGACCCCCAGGAAACACTGTCAACAATAAAGTGAGGAAAAAAAAAAAAAAAAACCCCATGTTCAAAACATCAGGGTAAAAGAGACCAGACAATCTAGCAACATTACAGAAGTATTTTTTCAAAAACTCTGGTAATTTTTTTGTTTTTTGGCAGTACAGGGATTTGAACTCAGGGTCTCATGTGTGCCAGGCAGGGGCTCTACCACTTGAGCCACTCCACCAGCCCTTAAAAACAACCTGGAAAGCAGTATTAACCTACAGGACTAACACCAGAAAGCACTAAATGTTCATTTCAGCACAATTAGTAACATGATATGGGACACTATACTAAAGTCATCTTCCAAGACAAGCAATACAAGAATAAAGGCATCCCTCTTCCTAGACTAGAATGGAAAAGCTAGAAGCCTTCTGTCCTTGAAACCACCAAAACCTACAAGAATCGTGACTCAAAACTTTGAGTCCTCTTGACTCCTTCCAATAATTACATTTTACAGAAGAACTCAAAATTCAATTTCATTCTTTAAAGAGATGAAAAAACATAAAGAGAATGTATTTGGACTACCATGCAAACGAGGACTATCCATAACGTAGCCTTCATTTACAGCAACACAAAATCCTAGTGACTTGGGAGCCAGAGATCAGGAGGATCGGGTTTTGAAGAGGTGGGGCAGGGAAATTCATCTCGAAAAAACCCATCACAAAAAAGGGCTGGTGGAATGGCTCAAAATTCAAATCCCAGTACTACAAAAAAAAAAAAGTTTCATGTTCATTATTTATGAAGACAGCTTCATTACTTGTGAGGCTGGGGATGTGGCTCAAGAGGTAGGGCACCTGCTTTGCAAGCATGAAGCCCTGAGTTCAAAACCCCAGTCCCACCAAAAACATAAGAAACCAATTAGGGCGGGGTAACAGTGGCTCTCGACTGTAATCCTAGCTACTCAAGAGGATGGAAGTTCAAAAGCCAGCCTCAGGCAAATAGTTCCAGAGACCCTATCATGGGGGGGAGGGGGGGAAGAAGGGCTGGCAGACAGTGCCTACCTAGCAAACCTGAGGCTGAGTTCAAACTCCAGTCCCACAAAAGGAAAAAAAAAAAAGACACTAATCACTCTAATTTTGATACACTACACCCTTATGTTCTACCTAAGAATCCAAATAAGGCCAGGTGCCGGTGGCTCACTTCTGTAAATCCCAGCTACAGAGAAGGCAGATATCAAGAGGATGGAGGTTCAAAGCCAGCCCCAGATGAACAGTTCCAGAGACCCTATGGGGGGGGGGGAAGGGCTGGCGGAGTGGTGCCTGCCTAGCAAGACTGAGGCCCTGGGTCCAAACCCCAGGGCCACCAAAAAAAAAAAAAAAAAAGAAAGAAAGAAACCAATCAGGAATGCATACAATTTTGTATGCCAGAAAATCTTTTTAATCCTTAACAATAAACTCCTAAAATGCAAGCCTACAAAACTTCAGATTTTGAACACATACAATATTTTTAAGCGGTCAACACATTTAAAGTTTCCTTTACACACTGTCTACAATGATTTATGATTTATAACTTACAATAAAGTAGTACTACACCACCAACAGAATTGATATAACCGTGTCATTAATAACTACCAAAATTGTGTGTGTGTGTGTGTGTGTGTGTGTGTGTGTGTGATGCTAGTTACTACCTGAAAAAGTGGCCCTAAAACCACTGGCATATATAACAGTGTTAACTCTCACATAAGACTTATTAAGCATTTAAAAAACACATTTACATTTGCCAAGGGCCTCATAATCATATTAGTTGTTTCTAATCCAAAACAACCCATGAAGGACTTTAGAGAAGAGGAACCTAAGCCCAAGGAGGAACCAAAGGAAACCAATTTCACCCTGGAGGAAATAACACACACCGTTTTCTTATATGCAGATCCTCTTAATCACTTCTCATCTACAGTATGAATTTTGCCAAAATTCCGTTACTAATTAATATGATAAACATCAGGGAAATAAGTGTATTGAATTCTAACAGAACATTAAGCACACTTTTAAGTACTTGGGACTATTTTATGCTACAGACAGAACTAGAAGGCAGTAAAATTTTCCCAAATGACAAACTTAAAAGTGCTAAATATAAACCGGTTGTTTCCGTACCTGATTCTAAAAAGGTACTCTAAGAGGCTCATGAAACAAGCTTAAAGTCAGGTCCTGAAATAATAGGCAGCTAGGCCCGTGATCAAAAAAACCCAAACAGAGTCCAGCTAAAAGCAGTGAGTGTAGGGAGGAAGTTATGAAGTCAAAATCTGCTGTTTGGCATGCTGTCAATCCACCTTTCAAAAAGATAATGATTCGAACCAGAACTTGTGGTTTAATCAGCACCAGCAATGGATCCCATCCAATGTTTCGCAGGATAACCAAAAAAAAAAAAAAAAAAAAACCAAAACAAAAACACTCGAGCCAACGCTGGATGTGGAGGGTGAAGGAAAGTGCCCATTTAAACCTACCTCTTCCTTTTTTATCTCGACGTTACATCTTAATGAGGAAAAAAACCTACACGCTCACCCAGACCACAGTTAGCCTGCGGACTTGTCCCCCACCCCCACGTCGCTCAACCCAAGTCCAGAATCCTAATTTCCAAGTCATTTCGCGGCTCCTCACCCAGGCAGGAGCCCTGGCAGGTTAATCAAGCACTTCCTCACCCCCCCCCCCCGCCCATCTGCCGCAGCTCAATTCCGTGACCCACATCCCCCGCCGGCAGAGCCCCTAACTCCGCACCCCCATCGCACTTCCGCCCCGGTGGCTTCCCAGTCTACCCTCGCCCCAGCCCCCACCCAGCTTTGTCTCTCCCCACACCTCGACGTTCCCGACGCCCAGCGGCAGCCCTTCCCCCCAGCCCCCGACCCCTACGGTCCCCAGCCCCCTCGGACGGGTCACCCAGCTCCCAAGGCCCGGCGGCTAACCCCTCCCCCAGCTTCCTCCGCGAGTCGCTCCCCTGGCCGCGGCCCTCCGCCCACGCCCACCCGGCTCCCGCCGGTCTCCGGCAGGCCCTTCACCTTGTCCATAAGCTTCCAGCACTTCTCCACCATCTTCTTGTCCACGGTGCCCGGCGGGTGCGGGCTGAGGTGGTGGTGGTGGTGGTGGTGCGGCTGGAAGGCGTCCTTCATAAGCCCGATCAGGCCTCCCGCGCCCGAACCCCCGGAGCCGCCGCCGCCCCCGGCGCCAGAGCTCTTTTTCACGTTGCCGGCCATGGCCCGGGTAAGGTCGGGGGCACAGCGGGTTGGCCGGCTCCGCTCGACTGCGAGCGAGGGAAAGAAGCAGGGCGTGAAGGAGGGGCCTCTCCCGGCAGCCGCCGCCGCCGCCGCCGCCGGCACTCCGGGCGGAGGGAGGAGCGGCGGCAGGGAGAGGAGTGGGCGGTGCCGGGAGAGCGGGGCGCACCCCTTCAGCGAGCGCGAGCCCGGCGGGCGGAGCGCGGGGGTGTGCGCCGGGGACGGGCTGCTAGCGGGCGAGCTTGGGAAAGAGGGCTGCCGTGTCCCGACGAGGCAGCGACCACCCCCCACACACACTCCCGCACCGTCCTCGCGAGCTCACGTGTGCCCACAGCTCCCGGAAAGCTGCTGCCAAGTTTCCGCGCCCGCCTCCATTCCCCCTCCCCATCCTAGGGGGCGGGCGAAGGCGGGTAGGGGCGGGGCCAGAGAACTTGGTGCCTGCACCCTCTGGTGGAGAAGAGGGGAAGTGAAGTGGGCGGGGCCCAGCATGGAGTCTGCGCACTAGACACAGAAGCCGAGCCCTCCATGTTCCTTGTGGGCTGGAGCTCGGTGTTCCAGGAGAGGGGTCGTTACAATGTTTGGACGAAGACAGGTAGGGTTGGAGAGAATCTTAGTCATGTCTTTCCCCCACGCCTGACAAATATAGAAATTGAGCTTAGAGTTATTTGCTTCATGTCGTGGGAAAGTTTTTTCTCCACCTTCTACAATTTTAAACTCTTTATTAACAAGTAACCAAAGAAAGGAATCGTAAATGCTGCGGATTGTTCAAGCTTGATGATGCCCCAGAAAGGCTTGGAAGTTTGGAACACTCAGGCCACGAGCTCTTCTTCCAGGCCTTTAACTTCTTGAAAAGAAACCACTTTTTTTTCCTCTCTCTCTCTGTCTCTTCTGAAGAATGGTTCCTTTTCTGGGCATTGGCTATGTACTTAAGATTCTCTGCTCAGCGCGATGCACCACAGGTCTGTCTGCACCGCCAGCACGACGCCCCGCCCACGCTGCACGCTCGGGCCAGAGCGGTTCTCCACTCGGGGGTCAGCGATGCAGTTCCCAGTCGCTTCCACTTCTCTAATCTAAAAGTTCAGTTGGAAGACTTTCAAAAATAGGAACTTCTTTTCCAAAGAAGGAAGCGCCCTGCTTTAGTTTGCTAATTCTGAGCCTCAGTTTTGTATGTAAGTTTGCAGGCCCAGATGTGTCAACAAGCACTCAGTTCCGCCCTAGATCTCCCTCCTGGCTCTTCCACCAAGCCCTTGACTGATAAGGCAGTTGAATTTATCAAGTGCTTCTGCAAGAGGGGAAAGTATCTCTGAACTCAAGGACCACGCTGCCACACATCTTGGGTTTGCAAATCAATTTCTTCATCTAAGGCTGACTTTGGAGTCTACATTATCATTTTCTATCAGTAGAATGTCCTCTTATCACTTCCTATCTAGAAAAAGAAGAATCTACCACAGAAAAATCTAGGCAAACCTCTTAATCCTCAAAACTTTCCAGGCCTAGTCCCACCCCCCCCACCCCCCATTTGCAGGCTCTCCTTTTTCTCCCCCCTGAATTTTTGTTTTGTTTTGTTTTCTTGAAGTAAGTTCTCCCGATGTAACCCAGTCTGTCCTGGAACTCACTATACAGCCCTGGCTGGCCTCAAACTCACAATTCTCCTTCCTCAGCCTCCTAATTACTAGAATTATACGTGTACACCACCACACCCAGCTCCCCTGGAATACTGAAACCTCTTCCTCACTGATTTCCCTGCCATCTTCAATCTATCCTGTCATCATATTCTTCCTAAAGTGTAATTCTGACAGCAACACACACACACCCCTTTAAATACTCCCCCAATGCCTCTGGAATAAAATGATCATATTCTCACTCCAAACTAAACTACGTTGAAGTTATTCTACTCCTGGATACATAAAGCTTACACTGGACGACTCACTAAATCACAAAATAATATTCCTTTTTGTTTTTTCAATCACTATTACTTAGAACAGTCCCTCTGCCTAAAGTGTGCTTTAAAAATTCAATTCAATTCTGGAAGCTACCAGGCAGGCACTGTGCCACCAGACAGGAAGTTGGGCTCTGCAGGCTCTCTGATTTCTTATTTACAACACTCATCACAGAACCTTAGGAACTACAGGGTACCATGTTAGGGTTTGGATCTTAAATGTTCCCAAAATCTCATGTGTTCAAGCTTTGTTCCCTAGCTGATGGTGCTATTGAAGGGTGGTAAAAACTTTTTTTTTAGTACTGGGGTTTGAACTCAAGGCCTATACCTTGAGCCTCTCCACCAGCCCTTCTTTGTGAAGTGTTTTTTACAAGATAGGGTCTTGCCTGGGCTGGCTTGAACCTCGATCCGCTTGATCTCTGCCTCCCAAGTAACTAGGATTACAAGTGTGAACTAAGACTGAGGTGATAATAAGAGGCCTAGATTCCACATTTGAGCAAAAACATTCATTATTCTGAACTTGGCACTTATCTCACTCAACTCTGACCTCCACCATTCATTTTCCTGCAAACGACATAATTTCATTTTGTGTGTGTGTGTGATACTGAGGTTTGAACTGAGGGTCTCATGCTTGCTAGGCAGGCCCTCTGTCACTTAAGCCACTCTACCAACCCCAATTTCATTCTTCCTTATAGCTAAACGACACTCCTATGTGCGTATATATCACATTTTCTTTATTCATTTGTTGGTTGTTTGGCATGTAGGTTGGTTCCATAGCCAAGCATAAATTTCTTTGGAGATTTTTTTCCAGAATATCACACATAAAATGCATAAAGCTTCATGTATATTCCAACAATTTTTTACACATGTAAAAAAATTGGGGCTGTAAAAAAACAAATTGAGGCTGGTGGTGAGGCTCAAGTGGTAGAGCTCCTGTTTTGCAAGCTCAAAACCCTGAGCTCAAACCACAGTCCCACAAAAAAAAAAAACTTCAATTCAGTCTTCAAACTCAGCTCAGCCGCTCACTGGTGACTCACACCTATAATCCTAGCTACTCAAGAGGCAGAAATCAGGAGGATCAAGGTTCGAAGTCATCCTAGGCAAGAGACCCTATCTCAAAATGTCCCATCACAAAAAAGGGCTGGTGGAGTGGCTCAAGGTGTACGCCCTGAGTTCAAACCAAGTACCAAAAAAAAAAAAAATTTAAAAAAACCCTCAGCTCAGCTGGGCATGGTGGCAACACACCTGTAATTCTAACACTCAAGAGACTTAGGAGGATTGTGAGTTCAAGGCTAGTCTGAACTACCTATCAAGGCTCTATATCAAAACAAAAGGGATTGAGAGCATGACTTAAGTGGTAGAGCTAGAGCCCTGGGTTCAGTCTCCTGTACTACCAAAAAAAAAAAAAAAAAAAGACTGGGGACTTGACTCAAGTGATAGAGTGCCTAGCAAGCACAAGACCCTGTACCGAAAATAATAATAATAATAATCAGTTCAAATATTGGCCTCTAGATAGTAATCCTTCCCTATTCTAAATTTCTATAACTCTTCTTTCCTCACAAGGACTCTACCACTTGAGCCACATCCCCAGTCTCCATTTATTTCTTAATTCACGCATCAAGTTTGGGTCTTCCACAAAACCTAGATCAATGTAGGTGCAGGAGAGTATTTTTCGAAGTCAAATCCTAGATTTAATGGAGTACGAGTAAGACATTAACCTGTGGATTTGTATATGTGCTTGTGCAGATATACAGTACATATCTCTAGCTTGCTTTAAGGTTTCCAATTTGTATTATTTTCAGTAAGATCTGTGTAACATGGAATCAGATAATGCCCCCTTGGTTTTTGCAACAGCAGGCCATATTTCTTTTAATATACAAATGACTTATCTCTCACATTTGAATATTGAGGAGTGCATCAAAACTCCTGGATGGATCTTTCCTATGGTCACTTTATTTATTTATTTATTTATTTATTTATTTATTGGCAGTACTGGAGTTTGAATTTGGGCCTCAAGGTTACTAGGCAAGCACTCTATCAATTGAGCAATGTCTCTAGCCCCTCGGAGGATTGTCATTTCTAAACTGAAGTAAATGAAAAGAGAAAGACAGATTGACCTTTTCCTCACAGTTTTTATTTGACTTTTAAAGATGTACAAGAGAGAGGATTGGATAGTTAATCACAATATCATTCCCATTCTGAGTTATGCTAGAGCATCTTGTATCACAACACATGACATGTGGCATTCTTCTTACTCCACTTCACCTTCACCCCAAACCACATCCTCATTCTGCACCTGAAAGTCGGTTGACTGAACATATTTGTAAAGCAAATGCCCTTCTGGGGGAAGGGGGTAAGAAAGAGTAATAGAAGGGGTGATTTTGATCAAAGTGCATTATATGCATGCATAGAAATATCACAATAAAACCCCTTTGTACAATTAATATAGTGCTAATTTAAAAACAGGAAGAAAATAAAGTAAGTGCTCTTTTGAAGCATGATGCATTGCTGTGTTCTGTAATCTCAGTCCTCAGTATGTCATTCCACACAACAGCGTAACAGGCACTAATCCTTCTGTAGAAAAGTCCCCAAACATGCTCCTAGATGAGAAGGATAGGGACAGGAGCCCCCACTATATTCCAAGACAGGGGGAGAGGATGCTAGAGGGAGAATAAATGAAAACATACTGCAAAATTAGAAGAAAAGTATCCTGAAGATCTGGGAGCTGTGCCCAAGTTTAGCCAACCATGAGTTACAGGAGCTGTAAGAATTGGGAAGACAATCCTCGTTCTTCCCTTTACTCTATAAAATGTCCAAAGTATCACAGAGGTACCCTGCAGCTGCCATGGAGTCAAGTAAACATGCACTGACCTATGCCTGAGTCTATCTTCTCCTCCCCAGAGGCATGACTTTTCATTCCCAGATCTTGTGTCTTTCTGCAGATCTGTTTCTAACAAGCAATTGACCAAAAATATTGAAGGGGACAGAGATGGAGAGAAGAACCTAAAGAGAGAGTCTGCAGGTCCCTTAATCCCAAGGAAAAAAGCCCTGGTGTTCCTGTTGTTTTCATTCTTGATAGTATGATGTCCAGAGATTCAGGTGGCAGGCAGATGGCAAGGCCCCAGGATAGGCCCTGGCTGGAGGAAGGGTGGGGGCTATCTGCCAAAAGCAGGCTATCCAGCATACTTAATGCCCCCAGTTTATTTTTCCAACCACGTCTGACCCTAGCAAGATGGTGGGAAGCATCCCCAAAAGGAGGTTGCCCCAACATTGCTTAATACCTCATTGAGAAGTAAAATTTAGGAGACTGTGGAGGTTAAGCTTTGTCCACTAGAGGGAGCCCCAACCTACTCTATGCTGCAAGGAGGCCTCAACCACATAGCTTCTTGACACCTGTCTGCATCTCAACCACATAAGGGAGTAGGGGGAGTGAGGCAATAAATTGAGTCACTGTGGGAGAAAAATCATTCTGTAAATACCCAGATAAAACCTTTGACGAAAGAGTGACAAATCAAAGACCTATACAACAAGAAACCAAGACGGAGCAAAGTTGAAACTTTTACCCATGTTTACATAGTCCCTTCCAGAGAAGGTACTAGAATTCACAGCTCTTTCTCTAACTCGTCAACATTTGCATCCCACTGAGTCAACGTGTTCACCTTTCCTCTGTTCTCACTTCTCTGAAGTGGAAAACTTCCACTACCTGTTCCTGTGTTATAGAATGCCTTTCTGAAGAGGGTCTTGGGTTTTGAGCCTAATGTCATTTTGCCTATGAGACCTCAGGATGTAGACTGCCCACAGTGACTACTGTCATTCCTTTTCTTCTGCATCAGCACAGTGCTGTCAGCTCAGATGTGTACCTCAGAAATTTCTAAATCTTCAAATTGCAGACAGTGCCTATCTGGAAGTGAACCATAGCTCATAGGCTTCATATCCTTTCTCTTCAAACTATACTTAGGATTTGAGGACAAGAGGAGAATCCAGGACTTTCCTGTTTGAAGCTTGTGAGCTGATTGAGCCCATTCTATCTTTCTCTGAGCTCCATGTTTTCCAGTTGCCTGGACAACATGCAGCCTCCAGAAATCCAACACTCCAGTCTCAGTCCTGCCCTCCTCCCTGGGTGGGGAAAAGTGGGGGAGTGCCACCCTGGATTGGCTGCCAGGACCCAGGCTCCTCCTTATCTTTTATCTCTCTGCCCTTCCCCATAGGTGGGTTACTCCACAGGGAGACCCAACACAGGCAAGAAAAGATCTTACAGGTAGGAAGAGGTGAGGTGAGGATGATGGGAAGAGGGAAGGGACCAGGTACAGAGATTTATTTTCTCTAAATGAGGGTTGGGAGAGTTGACTTCTGAACACAGCTGATCTTCTCTACTGATCCAAGCCCTGCCTAAGATTCTCAAGGAGACCAAGAACTGGGCTGGCGGAGTGGCTCAAGTGGTGGAAAGTGTCTGCCTAGCAAGTGTGAGGCCTTGAGTTCAAACCCCAATACCACAAAAAAAAAAAAAAAATCAAGGAGACCAAGATCTTAGGTTTCTGGAGCGTGTCAGACAGACTTGAAGACTTTAATTTTGACTCTCCTGAGATTCCTGCATCAGTCTAGGGGTCGGAAAACATTCTTATATCCAGACCTACTCACAAGGTTCTCCCTCTCCTAGGACAGCAAGGACATGCCACCTAAGACCAAAGACAAAGGGAGGAAAGCTGGAGCACAGAAGAAGAAAAAGAACCCAGGTGCTGGTGAGTTATGGTGAAGGAGGGAGGTGCCCTGCTTCCCTGTGTTCTGGCATGGAAACCAAGCAAACAACCTCAGGCATAATTCAGCCCTCCACAGCACAAAATGGAGCTTTTTGTCCTCCTCTTCCTAGCCTTGAACCTAGATTCCTGGAGCTGAGCCCTGTCTAGTTCTGTGCCTTCCTAATATGCTTGCCATATTTTGAGTACCTACTGTATGCAAGGCAATGAGGACATAGTGGTGAATTTGGCAGATTCAGCCACCAGGGATCCCTCATTTAGTGGTCCTCTGATCTAACACAGGAGGAAATTCAGGGGGTGGGGTAGTTCTCTGTTATCAGCACAATGCTATTAGCTCGTATGTGTACCTCGGAAATATCTGAGTCTCCAAATTGTAGACAGTGCCTGTCTGGAAGTGAACCATAGCTAATAGGCTTCATATCCTTTCTCTTCAAACTATATTTAAGATTTGAGGATCAAGGGTAGAATTGACCCTCTAGGACCTTTGTATTTGAAGCTTTGTGAGCTGATTGAGCCCATTTCATCTTCCTCTGAGCTCCATGTTTCCCAGTTGCCAGGAAACATGCACCCTCCAGAAATCCAACATACCAGTCTGAGTCCCGTCACCAGAGGAAACAAGACCACTAGAGGGAGCGCAAACCAACTCTATGCTGCAGGGAGCTGAGATCATAATAAACTAAGGCTCTGTCAACTTGCCAGGACAGATGTGGAGGCTGAAGGCAAGCACAGGCTGGTGCTGCTGGAGAAGGAGCTGCTCCGAGACCAGTTGGGTGAGAAGGATGAAGGCTCTGGGGTAACAGAGGCTGCGCCTGGGGTATTACTGTGTCATTGGAGGACTGAAAGGTTAGCACTACAGTGCGAGGCTAAGCCAAACTCTGACCATCCCTGAGTGGAAAAAGACTGTGAGGTAGTGAAAAAAGACTGATGGCAGTGAAAATAAAAAAAGCTATTTTTCCTCCCCAGTGCTGAGGATCAAACCCAGGACCTCATAATGGTGGGAAAATACTCTAAATCAGGCACCTGTGGCTCACCTGGTGGGCAGCTCATGCCTATAATCTTAGCTACCTGGGAGTCTGAGATCGGAAGGACTGTGGTTTGAGGTCAGCCCAAGCAAAGAGTTCACCAGACCCCATCTCCAAAATAATCAGAGCAAAATGGACTGGAGGTATAGCTCAAGCAGTAAAGTACCTGCTTTGCAAACACGAAACCCTGAGTTCAAATCCCAGTCCCACCAAAACACTCTACCACTGAGCTACACCTGCAGCCCAGGGAAGTTATTTTATTTTATTTCTTTAATAACCAGAACATGAATGGGTATTTACATACTAGGAATGAAGAGTCTGAGGAATTCTACCGGGAAAAATAAACAACAGAGTAAGAGGAGGTTGGACAACCTGCCGCCAGGTTTCCAGAGGTGGGCAGAGTTCATCACTGACTGTGGAATCCCCAGCCAGTCCTGAGCGTGACTCTGCGACTGTTCACAGCTCTACGGAGAGATGAGGCCCGCCGAGCCAAGGCTTCCGAAGACCTGCTGAAGCAGAGATTGCAAGGGTTGGAGGCTAAACTGGGAAGAGCTCGAAGCGAAGGGAAGGCTATATATGCAGGTATGTGGTTGATTGAACAGGTAGGCAGAAATAGAGGCCTGGAAGAGGACAACCAAGAGTACCAGAGGATATGGGGAAGGTAAAAGAGGGGTACTTCCAGCTGCCTGGAGTAGTCTCAGCCTTCTCTGCACAGATCTCTGGCATCCCAGGCAGGGTCCTTTCAGATTGCTTTGTGGAGTAAAAAATGCAGTCAGAGCCCTTTTCTCACGCATCCCATAGAGTGAGTGTGGAGAAGGGCCAGAATGCCCATCCTAAGCTGGTATAGGAAAGGGGGTCTGGTTTCCTGTCCCTCCTCCAGATTTTCAGGGTCACTCAGCTTCTTAGCATCACCACAAGAAGACACTTACAGCTGGGGTATGGCTCAAGTGGTAGAACACCTCTAGCACAAAGGCCGTGAGTTCAAACCCCAATACCAAAAGAAAAAGTCCTTATGCTCCTGTCTCTCTAAACTAAGCAGTCTTCCTCACATGTAACTTCATTTCCCTTCCCTGTGCCTCCCCACCTGGATTCCTGACGGCCTACCATCTCCACCTCAGAGATGAGCCGCCAACAATGGGCCCTGCAGGAGAAGATGGAGACTCAAAGCAAGCAGCTGGAGGAAGAAACGAAGATCCTCCGGGAGCAGCTAGGTAGCCACTTCCCCTTTCCCTTTCTCTCCAAGAGTCACTGACAGGGTCCAGCATGAAGGGGAGGACTTAGAAGGACCTTCTCTAGAAGGCTAAAATCTGTTAGTTGAATTCGAATTTGAATCACCTTCCCCCATGATTCTCCTCTGAGCAGAGGGTTCAAGATGACAAGAACTTCTAAGATACAGGTAAAGAAAAGGTAGGTCTCTCACTCCGTTTCTTTCTTCGCTTGGTCTCTCCAACACTTACTCCCCTCCACTGCCTTATCTCTTCTGAGCAAAATGTATTCCCTCTTAGTTTTGTTGATTTTTACAATAAAACTAAGGGAAAAATGTTAGACTTATTTATTTCTCTATCTTCAAAGCCTAGCACCTAGTAGGTCCTAAACAAGTACATGCTAACTAAATGAATAAAAAACTCTCTCAAAACACAAAAAATTAAAAAAAAAAAAAAAAGTGGGCTGGCAGAGTAGCTTAAGTGGTAGAGCACCTGCCTAACAAATATGAGGCCCTGAGTTCAAAAAAGGAGGAAGCCCTTGCTTGACTCTCTTGCTTACAGGAAAAAGTTGAAATATCTTAGCATTGCACACAATATGTTTCACAGTTGGCCTCAATTTTTTTTTCCAGTGCTGGGAACCAAACTCAGGGCCTTGTACTTGCCAGACAAACACTCTTCCACTGAGCTAAATCCCCAACCCCTCAAAATTTCTTATTCTAAAATATCTTCAGTTTAGCTGTTACCTATTTAAGAGCTGTTTATCTGGCATGCAGACCCTAGGCTCCTTCCCTAATCTTTGCCTAATTTCAAATTCAAATTCAACTAACATTTTTTGAGCCCCACCTGTATAACAGGTGCTTTGCCATCCATTTTCACATTTAAGGGTCACACAGCAAGTAATTGGGTTATAATTGTTCTCCCTTTAAAGATGAAGAACTGAAACTCAGAGACACATCCCAATTACTTGAGTAGTAACAGACAACCAGACTTTGGATCCATCTTCTGTCCTCTCCTGTTTCTGTTGTACCTCAGTGGGTCTCCATGTCTTTACAGGAACTATGGAAAGTTGATGACCATGGTGAATCTGTAATGGTCCCACTCAAGATGCCCTTTTTTAGGTACCTTTGGAGACTGTTCAGGATATAGTGTCACCATCCTGACCTCTTTTATCCTTCTGTCTTGTTCCCCAGAAACATGCCAGAAGGAGGCTGAGGCTGCAAGGGAAGAGGCAGAGCAAGCACTTAAAGAACAGGACCAGGTCCTAGCTCAGCTTCGGGCCCATGTGGAAGACATGGAGGCCAAGTATGAAGAAATCATACATGTAAGCACCACCCCAAGAAGCCAACTGCCCAGAACCCAGCACTCATCCGTCCCCACACCCTCAGCTAGTATGATGATTGACAACCCAAGGGAAAGGAAAAGTATTGCCACAGGAGCCCTGCTCTTTCCTGAGGACAACTAGAGAGGATACAATTGTACTTTAAGAAACTACTGGCAGAACTTGACATGATGATGCATGCCTGTAATCCCAGCACTCAGCAAACACAGACAGGAGGATCAAGAGTTCGATGCTAGCCTGAGATACATAGCAAGTACAAGTCTAGCCTAAATTATACAGTGAGACTCTGTCTCCAAAAAAACCAAGAGCTGAGGATGCTAGTCAGCGCTTAGCATGTGCAAGACCCTGGGTTTGATCCCCAGCACGGCAAAAAGAAGGGAGTGGGATGGGAGAGAGAGGGAGAGAGAGAGAGAGAGAGAGAGAGAGAGAAAGAGAACTCTGTCAAGAAAAGCCAACTAACCAACCTGGGGCAGTCTTAACCCCTGTCCTCTCCCTCTTCCTGGGACCTAAAAGCTTACTGTCTGCAGGGAAACCTGGACCAGCTCTTGGCCAAGCTGAGAGCTGTCAAGCCTCAGTGGGATGAGACTGTGCTCAGACTCCACGCCAAGCACAAGGAGCAGCTGCGCCAATTTGGTCTCAACCCTCTGGATCTTTGAGGCTGCCAGCCTCTAGTCTCTGAGTCGTAGCAATAAAGCATCTTGATGTAGAATTCAATGGAGCTGTGGGCTAGGACCTTTGGCAGAGAGGAGTGGTCCTTATGGAGCCATATTAGTTCTGGGTTGCCCCATTATGCCAAAGACAGAGAGATAGGAAAGAAATCTGACGTGGTCTCAACCTCTCTCCTGTAGAAAGTGGGTCACACTCCTTGTGGTCTCCTCAAAACACCTCCACTAATCCCCACCAACAAAAGCAGACAGCCAAATTTATAGGGAAACTCTACTTCTTTTCTTTTTTTTTTTTTGCTCATTTTTTTGTTTGTTTTATAGTGCTGGGGATGGAACCCAGGGCCTTGCTCATGCTTGGCAATCCCTCTACCAGGGAACTACATCTTCAGTCCCAGGACAGGTTATTTCTCTAACAAAACACAACAGCGACCAGGCACCAACTCCCACAATCTAAGGTGTCCACAGAGGAAGGGTAAAGTTGGCCTCCAAATTCTTGTTCTATATTACACTGGGCAAGTTCCCAATGATTTCAATCCTAGCCAGCCCCACAGCGTCCCCTTCTCAGGTATAACTTCATCCTCGGGTGTGCAGTTCTCCAAAACTCCCATCAGATAGCCTCTGGAGACTCAGGCCCCTCATGGGCCGGGCGCCTGAGGTCTCTGACCACACCCTCTGCTGGGAGGTAGACTCAAGGAAAGTGAGGGAGCCCCCAGGCAGTCCTGTGATTGGTGGTGTCCCAGTGAGTTCTCCAGCTCCTGCATTGGGCTTAGAGAGACCACCTCTGCTCCCATCACCTTAGGCTGCTAAACAAAGACAGGAAAGCTACTCCATAGCTGTGTACCAAGCAGGGGTGTTCTATAGTAGCTCTGAGGTTGGAATCCAGTCCTACATAGAGAGAGGAGGGAGAAGGTCATTCCAGAACCAGAAGGTTTCTTTTCTCAGCCCTCATCTGCCCTATAATGTCCACAACTGGACATTGTTCCATGTTCCTTCTGTCTTCATCTCTCATGACCTGAAGTCCCCACCTGCATACTGTTTTAGCCTGCAGCCCTCCCACTCCATTCTCTCCACCCTTCTCTGGCTGCTCACAGTCCCATCTGTCTCTTCTTCCTCACCTCTCCGGACCCTGGGGAAATCCAGGCTTCCACACCCTGCTGAGACCTGGCTGCCAACTTCAGGCAGAGGGGTGGTTCAGCCTCTGGCAGCTGCTGAAGCCTTTCCAGGTCATTGTCTCCATTCACAGGATACCCATTTACTTCCAGAATCACATCTCCCATTTGCAGCCCTGCTCTGGCAGCTGAGCCTCCTGGGGTCACCTGATGTTGTTGGGGGGATGCATACAGAACATAGAATATCAGAGAAACATTTTCTGGGTGTTCTAAGACTCTGAAAGAGAGGCAGAGTAAGGCTGATTAGGTGGTAAATTATGGAAAGATTCCAGAGGTTCATGGGGCATTGGTACCTGGGAGATAAAGAGACAAAGCCCACTGGCTACACAGCTGAGTCGGAAGCCATAGCCACCACCAGGCCCGGGATATAAGAAACACTGGCGGGAACCAACAGGGCCAGGACACAAGGCCGTGTCTTCAACTGGTAGGTCCTCAGTCTCAACCAGAGAGGCCGCGCAAGTGTCCTGGGGGGTTGCAGGAGTCTCTATGCTCTCCAGGAAGAGCAGTGGGGACAGGCGGACCTGAAGGGGCAGATGAAGCAAGCCTGTGACACCTGAGCCCTGCTCCGCTCCTACCCCCTCCCCAACCCTGTCCCCATACACACCATGCTGAAGAAGCGGTCAGCTTCAGGGTCGATAACAATAAGGGAAACACAAGTTCCCTGTGCCCGGATCCTAGACACTGTTTCCTCATGACGAAGTCCCTCCACACTCTCCCCAGCCACAGCCACCAGGCGGTCCCCATCCTTCATTCCAGCCTTCTCAGCGGGCAGTCCTGGGTCGACCTCCCACAAGAACTGCCCTAGGACAGACGTACTCATTGCTCCTCCCCAATTTACTCCCAGTGCTCCTCCTCCCAGATTCCCATGTGTACACCAGGAAAGTAGCCCCAGTGTACATAGGAGGAGGAGACCCGGGACTGGGGCATAGACAGGGGCACTGAGAGGTGTGCACTTGCACTTGACTGCCCATCATAAGGCCACTCTCCCTATCTGCCCCCATGGCTGCTACTTACCGAGGCGACCATCAGGGCCCTTCTCCTCCCGCAGCAGGAACCCGAAGCCCCGGGGCCCTTTCTCTAGGTGCAGACAGCGGGGCTTGGCAGGCAGTGCCCAGCCCTCTGCCAGGGGTGCAGCTAGGGGCATTCCCAGCCGGCGACACTGTTCCTCCACCTCTGGCCCTGCCACCAGCAGGGTCACCTTCTCTCCACTCTGCCAAAGCTGTGAGGACCCAGCAGGGGTGTGAGCATCAACCATCTGGGTATGGAGGAAGAGGTGGGCACTCCTCATAGCCCCGCTTCCCAGCCGCAGGAATGAGGCAACCAAGGGGAGGGCCTAGCACAAATGGCAGAGGGAAGGACAGTGACAAATGTAGGCCATCAGGTCGGGATGGGTGTGGGAGGAGTTGGCTTCCTGTGGTGAGTGCAGAACAGAGAGGTGGTGGGTGGGAAAGGGGACTGGACAGCCATACCTTCCTGCTGAGCTGGCTATGTGTGAACTTCTCCACACTGACCCCATTTACTTCTAGCAACCGGGCCCCAGGGGGCACCCCTGCCCGCTCTGCTGCTCCTCCTGCACTTAGCACAAGCCAGAAAGGACCCTTAGCTCCTTGAAGAAAAAAAAAAAAAGAAAACCACAAAAACCAAAAGCAAGTTCCAGTCTGCTGCCTGCCCAAGCAGGAGATCCCCTCCTGAGTGCCCCATCCCAGCCTCTAAGCTCACCGTGTGTAATACTGAAGCCAAAGCCACCCTCATCTTTCACTACATGGCACAACCGGGGCCGGACCCCTGAGCCTAGGGTAGGACAGAGATGGGTATCGTTGTCCTGCTGAGCTCGGACCACATCATGCACTTGCTGCGCCAAGACCGTCAGCAACACCCGGGGACCGCTGGCCCGGATGTGATGTATTACCTACAAAGAGGGCATGTGGGACTGAGGGAGGCTGGCCCCACTTGTTAACTCCCAGGACTCCCCTAGAATCTGCATGTTTCACCATGGGAACCACCTTTCCAACCTGGGCACCCCTAATTCCTGGGGTATGAGGGACAGTGAGTTGGGCTGTTCACCACAGCATGGGGGGGGTGGCAGATGGATAGGGTCCCCTCCCTAAGGGCTAGGAATGCTCTCACCTACCACAAGGAGTGCCAGCCCAGCCTTACCACCATGTAGTCCTCACGTTCCACGACATTGTTGTTCACTGCCAGGATCCAGTCTCCTTCTCGGAGACCCTGGCGCTGGGCAGAGGTGCCTGGCTCCACCCTGCACACCACATGCCCAGCCCTGCCCAGCTGCTGCTGCAGGTGAAAACCAAAACTCTTGCCCTCCTCTTTGCTCAGCAGACAGAAGCGAGGCCTCTTCAGGTTCCAGGGATCTGGAGGAGGAGGTGGGCAGGAGAAAATGGGGAGGGGAGAAGTATGGCCCATGAACAGGTCCATCTTGTGACTGGCAGCTCCCGCCGCCAGCCAGGGCACTAGGCAGGCTTTTACCCAGTGAGAGGTTGGGCATTGCAGCTAAATACTGCATAGGCAGTGACTGGGACAGAGGGAGGGCTGGGCCTCTCTGGCCTCCACATAGATACTGGTATTGGAGGGAGGCAGTGAGTGGTTACCAAGGAGATGGGAGGCTGTGTGGAGCTGTGGTGTCCAGGGAAAGGCAAGGGTTGCCAGGGGGTGAGGAGGTTACCAGAGCTGTCTTGGTCTTCAGCCAGGGAGAGGACAGGATTGTCAATGCCCAGCTTTGGGTTAAACTTAAACTTCCTGCAAGGAGGCAGGAGAAGCTGATAGGACAAGTTGGCAGCTGGACTTGGGTCCCGAGTTCTACTAAGGTGCTGAACAGGCACCTTTGCAGCTTCCTTAAGCAGGCACTTCACCTAAGCAGGCATTTAGGCAGCTAGGAGCTTCCCCACCTTCCATTCCTTCCTTCTCTTGCCCCAACCCTCAAGCCACTTACAGAGATAACGAGGTCGAGTCCCGGAGATCTACTGGACAAAGAAGTTTGTGAGAGGAGAGGCACATTCCTCCCCCAGATGCCTCATCCATGGTCATCCACTGAAAGGATTTAAGGGAGCTCCAAAACTCAGGCCTCCTCCGTTCCAAAAAGATCCTCCTTTTTTACTACCTTCATATACAGAGGAATGTTACCTGTTTCCCTCCTTTTCCCTCCCCCCAGGTCTGTGACACATAAATCTCAGCATATCAGTAGAGGGTGTGGACCAGGAAGACAGACATATCAGCTCACCTCATCCCTCCTAACTTCTATTTGCCTCAGTCCCAACCTCAAGTATGCTCTAGTCCCAAAGCCTCCGAACCTGTCCCACTCCCCTGACTGTCCCAAGGTTTTCTCTGGAGCCATCTCCCGGCCTCCTACCTGCAGCTGCCTCCATAGTTGGCCCAGCCACCCAGTGCTCAGAGTAGGGACAAGGTCCATTGTAACCAGCTGACCCTCCTCCCCTCCCCCCTCCCAAGTCCCGCCTCCTTGAAGACGCTGAGAGGAAACAATGGGTAATGGTTAACAGTGATGAGTCTTATCCTCTAGGAAGTGTGTGTGTTCTTCCTGTCCCCATTCCTGCCCCTCAACTTTCTCCAGAGTTCTTGGAGCTAACTAATTGCCCCTCTGCACAGAGAAAGGCAGATCACTGTATTTCCAAGTCTGGAGGGGGTTTAAGTGTGAGAAGGGTGGGAGGAAGGCTGTGGCCCAGCAGAACCAATTCCATCCCAATATCACAAGCATGGGCCTCTGAGTCCAGTGCCCAGGAACCACTTCCATAGTTCAACCAGAACAACCCTTTCTCAGAAGCACCAGGCAAGGACGATGAGGCCACAGTAGGTGGAAGAGACATAGCTTTTTAATAGCAGCAGGTTGGGTGTACCTGCTCCTAGGAACATCAGTACCAGTGCAGACAGGGAAAATGAGGGCAAGGGAAAGCACCAAGTGAGGGCATCCTCAGTGTCCATGGGTGCGTTTAAGGCAGAAGGGGAAGCCCTCCAGGGACCTCCAGGGATGGTGACATCCCTGGCATCGCAAATGTGAGAAGTGTGCCCCTTGGTAGCACAATCGGAGGTTCTAAGCAGAGGGAGGCAAGGTTGGTGGTGCTACAAGACAATTTGGCCATTCAAGTGCTATATCCTTAGTCCTAGTAATAAAGGGAGAGGAATCACAATCTGTTTTGGGTTGTTGTGGGTTTGCTTTTTCTGTTTTTTTTTTTTTGGAGACAGGGTCTCACTATATAGCAGGCTGGCCTTGAACTCACAATTCTCCTGCCTCAGCCTCCCAAGTGCTGAGGTTACAGGTGTGCACCACCAGGCCTGGCAATTCACCAGGCATGACCCTGGAAATTCCAGGCTTAGGAGTCCTGGTTGGACTTGCCACAGGGGGATAACTGACACAGTCGTGCCCACTTCTTTGCCTCCAGCCCTGAAGGGATCTTTCTGAGAGAAGTAGTGTAAGCTAGGAGGGCACAAAGAGAACGGGTTTGGGGCCAATGGTCCCACAATGATGTTTCAGCTGCCACTGTCTCAGCTTCCAGAGCCTCCCAGATGCTCTAGGAGGGCCTTGACCTCACTCTCTACTCGTAGCAGCTGGGCTTTGCGCCAAGGGTTAAGGGTGGCACAGCGGCTATCTTCCAGATCCCGCAGCAGCAGCTCGAGGTGGCGCCGGACCCGAGCCCAATCCCAGCTGTTGAGGTTCCGCTGGACTTCATTGAGGATCATCGACCAGTACTCGGACACCGCAGCCCCCTCTGTCAGCGACGCCACAACCCTCACACCACCTTCAGCAGTGCCTGCCAAGTCCCGCAGTACCTGGCGGCCCTCTGAGCTCAGCTCATTGAAGTAGAGGCTAGCAGGAAGAAGGGAGGACAGCACTCCTTAGGTCCCTGAGAGGGAGGGCCTCCAGGTGGATGGACAGAGTCAGGTGGCCTCATCTCTGGCTGCTTAGTGTCATGGGGTAAATATGCAATAAGCCAGACATGGGAAGTGGCCAAGGGGGAGAGGCAGGGATTGACACAAGCACTGAGTGTGACCAGTGACAGTAGAACCCTGGGAGAAATGGTGGTAGGGAATTAGGGCAGGGTAAGGGCCAGTCACAGAGGAGGTGGTTGGTTCAGTAGTCAGTTGACAACCATCAGTAAGAATCTAGGAAAAGAGGACAAACACCAGGCCTACACCCAGAACACAGTGGAGAGAGGGAAGGAAGGCTGAGGGCCTGGGGGAATGGGGGATGGCACGGGGCAGACTCACTGCAGCAGCTCCAGGGAAGGGTGTTCCCAGGCAGCCTTAGCCAAGGCCAGGGCTGCTGTGTCCCCAGCACCATTGTAGGCCACGTTCAACTCCTTCAGCTGCTTGTTTCGGTCCAGCTGGGCAGCCAGCAGCTCCAGCCCCTTGTCCCCAAGGCCCGTGTGTAGCAGGGACAGGTGTGTCAGCGAGGTGTTTCCTGCTAGCCCCTCCACCAGCAGGGCAACCCCCTCCTCTGTCAATGGGTTGTTGGATAGCCTAAGACCACAGGCAAGTCCAGGTTAAGAGGGCCCATTGCAGATGTCCTGTGTTGGGCATTAGGACTTGGGTCAAAGAGGGCATAGCCTGAGCAGAAGAGAACCTGGACAGAGAAATACAGGTCCAAAAATGGACAGGGAGATGGGGTGTGGCCCTTTCAGAGGCAGGAGAGTAGGGGAAATTTGGCTTCTCTTCTTTTCTCCTTCCTTTCCATCTCCTTTGCTCCCTGACTCCCTCTTTCCCTCTCCCTGTTACTATTTCCCTTCTTCCTTCTTCTACTTCTTTACCCCCTCCCCAGCCTTGCTCCTCCTTCCCTTCTGGCTCCCCCATCCTTCTGCTGGTCTTTCTCCATCCTCATTCACCTCCCCCTGATCTCCTCCCCATGCATATGGGCTCCTGCCAACATCTTGGAAGCATCTAGTGAGTGTCCTGCATTGGGGTTGTCCTTGTGAGGCTGCAGGAAAAATCCTAGGAGGGGATTATGAGGCTAGAGGAGTGGCTCAGGTGGTGGAGCACCTGCCTAGGAAGGTTACCAGGCAACCAGCCCAGGTATTACTGCAGTATCCCTACCCCCCAGGTTGACATTCACCAAGAGAGAGGCTTTCATTTTTTGGTGATACTGGGGTTTGAACTCAGGGCCTCTTACTTGCTAGACAGGCGCTCTACCACTTGAGCCACTCTGCCAGCCCAAGGGAGGCTTTCTTAACACCTATTCTGATGGCATCCTTGCCCCCGCCCTTCCTTTCTTCCTTCCTTCCTTCCATCCTTCCTTCCTTTCTCTCTCTTTTTCTTTTTCCTTCCTTCCCTCCCTCCTTCTCTCCCTCCCTCCCTCCTTCCTTCCTTCTTTCCTCAGTACTGGGGCTTGAACTCAGGGCCTACACCTCAAGCCACTCCACCAGCCCTTTTCTGTGAGGTTTTTTGAGATAGGGTCTCTTGGACTATTTGCCCAGGCTGACTTCGAACCACAATCCTCCTCATGTCTGCCTCCTGAGTAGCTAGGATTACAGGTGTGAGCCACCAGCGCCTGGCTTGCCCTGCTGCTTCTAATGGACATGGGTGAACACCAGGCTGGGACCCAGACTCCCACCCCTTTACTGCAGCCTGGGCAGGCCTGTATCAGGGACAGACCCTGGGCAGGTTCTGAGCTAGCCCCTGAACAGCCATGGCCTCCCCCAAGCCTCTCCCGGGTACTCACCGCAGGGTGGTGATTTGGCACTGATCATGCAGCAGTAGGTCTCGGAGGTTCCCACAGGCCTCAGGGCCCAGGTTGTTGAGTTGCAAGCTGGAGCAGAGGTAGCCAGAGGGGAGAAAGAGAGCAAGGAAGCAGTTCAGTATGGGGCCTTCCACCTGTCATGTTCGTTCCTCACCAGCCTGCCTCTTGCCATCCACACCTGTCCTCCATATTCTGCTGCTTCTGTCATCTCCACCCACACTAGACTTCTCCATTCCATCCTGCTATGAGTCTGCACATGTTCCCCAAGAACGTGAGTTAGAGGCTTGGTCCCAGAGTGGTGATATGGGAGAGTAGAACCTTCAAGAGATGGGGCCTGCCAGGCACTGGTGGCTCACACCTGTAATTCTAGCTACTCAGGAGACAGAGATCAGGAGGATTGTGGTTCAAAGTCAGCCCAGGCAAATAGTTTGGGAGATCCTACAATCCATCACAAAAAAAGGGCTGGTGGCATGGCTTAAGGTGTAGGCCCTGAGTTCAAACCCCAGTACCATAAAGAAAAAAAAAAGAGATGGGGCCTGGTGCAAGGTGATTAGGTTATTGGAGCTCTGCCCTTGGAGAGATTAATGCTGTGCTCACTATGTCAGTTAGTTCTCATGAGAATGGGTTGTTATAAAGCAAGCCCAGTCCATGTTCTTGGCCTCCTCTGAATGCAACTATTTCCATTTCTGCTTTTTGCCATGTTGCAATGCATCGAAGGAGACCCTCACCAGAGGCTGAATCGCACCATGCAGCTGCCCACTCTGGACTTCAGCCTCCAAAACTGTGAGCTACATAAGCCTCTGCTCTTCATAAAATATCGTAAAGGTATTTTGTTATGGCAACAGAAAGTACACTAATACACGCCCCTGGTCCTTCCTCATTTCTTTGGTTTCCCCAGCACCTTCTTTTCCCTTCTTCACCTCCAACTCTCTCCTCTCTTCATGCCTTTGCACCAAGACAGGTCCTCACCCCAGTTTCCGGGCACGCAGCAACACAGGCTTAAGTGTGCACAGCCCAGCAGGATCCAGCTGGCAGGAAGCCAAGTTCACCTCATCCAGGGCATGCCTACCACTGTCCAGTACAGATGCGACCACTGTGCACTTGAGGGGTGTCATGCGCACGCCGGCCAAGTTGAGCTGGCGCAGAGAGCTGAGCACCTCAGCAGAGAAGCGCTGGTTCTGGAACTCGTAGTGGAAGAAGAGGTGGTCAAACAGCTCTGAGGGGGGCAGCACCCGCCGGCCCAGCTTGCCCAGCTTCTTCTTAATGGCCTGGGCATTCTCCAAGGCATCCAGGTTCTTAATGGGGCAACCGAGCTGAGCCAGCACAGCCCGGTTGTGGGCAGAAAGAAGTCCCCCCATGAACATAGGAAAGAGTTCGAAGACTTCATCGTCGGGGGGTTCATCTGGGTGGCGCCGGGGGCCCTCCACACCCAGGATGCTGGCACCCATTTGGTCCAGAACATCATCATTGTAGTAGTCCTCCTCTCGGAACATCTCCAGCACCATAGCCTGGGCGACTGCTTTCCGGCTCTTACCCACCATGCGCCCAAACACTTGTGGGACCACCTGGGAAAGAAGCACGGAGGGTTGTTGTGGCCTCTCATAGACCTGTTCAGACTTCACAGCTCAGCTTCAGGTGCAGCTGCCTGCCTGCTCCAGCCTTGTGAGCTCCTCTTGAACTCACAGCACGATTTGTCTGCTCCCATTGTTCCCCTGCATCAACAACTTCCATGGCTCTCCCATGCTCCCCCCACACCTCCACCACCCCCAGCACCTCACATAACTTTTTTTCAAAACAAAAAAAAAAAGTCTTTTTAGTGGTGCTGGGGATTGAACCCAAGGCCTCATGCATGCTAAATGCATGCTTTACCAGGTGCTGGTGGCTCACACCTGTCATCCTAGCTACTCAGGAGCAGAGATCAAGAGGATAACAGTTTGAAACCAGCCCTGGCAAACAGTTCAAGAGACTCGATCTCAAAAACACCCAACAAAAAACAGGGTTGATGGAGTGACTCAAGTGGTAGAGCACCTGCCTAGCAAGTGTGAGGCCCTGAGTTCAAACTCTAGTACCACCTATATGCTCTATCATTGAACTATACCCCCCAGTCCCATATTTTCTTTTTAGAACTTTTTTTTTTTTTTTGGTGGGATTGTGGTTTTAGATATGCAAATTGCCTGCATGCATAGTGGACACAGAGGGCTGACCATATTATACACTTAGTTTGAGACTGGGGTGGGTGTTACAAACATGTCATTATCTTCTACATCCTGGTCACTGCAGCAACTCTGACTGACGTCACTCCTACTACTTAGAGGCCCTGTGTAATGTGGCCCTACCATCCACAGTGCCCCCATCATAAGCGTTCACCCCACTCACTGTGCTCCTGTCCTTTCAGCTTTTCTCATCTTCCTAACAGTGCCAAGGTTTCCCCTCCTTCAGAGCCTCCAGAATGCTGCCCCCTTCTGGAATGTTCCCCCCAATTCATGGCTAATCCTACAGGGATCAGTTTAAATCCCCTTCCATGGAGAAGCTTTCCTGACTGCCCCCCTCCCCAACCAGATTCCCACATCACACTTTCACAGTACCTGGGACTTTATAGGCATTTATCATCATTTTTCATTATATAGTTATGTTGACTATTTTTATGTTCAGAGTGTAAGATCAGAAAGGACAGAAGCTTTCCGTTTGATTAACTGGTTTTTTTCTTAGAATCCAACACATTGCCTGGCATACAGCAGGCACTCAAACATTCAACAAAGACATGAACGTCTGGGGAGGCTAGCAATATCATCTCCCACCTCCCACCCTGCGATAAGCCATGAGAAAATTTTGCAACACCTCCTCTAATGCCTGGGGTTTTTCACTTTTTTTTTGTACTGAAGGTGATAGTACTCCTCCTTTAACACTTAATCTGGGGGCAAAACCAGAAAGTGTCACCCTGTTAAGCTAACTCAATAGGATTGTGAAGAGAGATGAAGATGTAGGTCAGTGGTATAGCACTTGCCTAGCAAGTATGAGGGCCTGGGTTCAATCCCCAGCACACACACACACACACACACACACACACACACGCACACACCCCACGAAAGCTCAGCATGGTAGCACACACCTGTAATCCCGGCATTTGGGAGGCTGAGCTAGGATGATTGAAATTTGAGGGCAGCCAGGTGCCGTGGCTCGTGCCCGTAATCCTAGGTACTTGGGAGGCAGAGATCAGGAGGATAGCAGTTCGAAGCCAGCCCAAGCAAATAGTTTGAGAGACCCTATGTCTAAAATACCCAACATAAGGGTTGATAGAGTGGCTCAAGTGGTAGAGTTCCTGCCTAGCAAGAAAATTGGAGGCCAGCTTGGATTACATAAGAGAATTCCAGTCCATCCCAAGTTATATAGTGAGACCCTGTCTCAAAAACAAACATAAAAATATAGGATCATGAAGAAACAGATAGGATCATCTTCTTCTAGACAAATCCTCCCTCTGAGAAGGCCTGGGGCATGGTGGGCTTTCATGTCATGATAATGGCGCAGTTCTCAAACCCATAGGAAGCCATGGTCCCTTGCTGCAATCCAGATGCAGCAAGCACATCTCCAAAGTATGGGCAGCCTCAGCAGTAGCTGTGACCCCTGTCTGAGGTGATGCTGTGAGAAGAGGTAGGCTGCATGAGCCAGTTTTTAGGTTTAACAAACAAATAACAGTGTACCCCAGGCCCTGAGGACTAATTCACTTGGTCCTCATAGTAGGCCAATGATATAAATTCTATAATTATTCCTACTTAACAGATAAAGAGTCCGAGGCACAGAGAGGTTAAATAGCTTATGCCAGGTCACAGAGCTAGCAAGTGGCCTAGCCAGGCTAGCAAATAGCCTGGGCTTTTAGCCCACATCTTTTTGTTACTGGATCCCTGTTTTTAACCTTCATGCTTTATTTACTAAAAAAAAAAAAAAAAAAGTAAAACTTGGAAACCCAAGTACAATGGTTCATGCCTATAATCCCAGGAGGTGGAGATTAGGAGGATCAAGGTTCAAGGCCAAGTACAGTGATGCATGCCTGTCATCCCATTTATGTGGGAGGTAAAAATAGGAGGATTGAGGTCCAGGCTGGTGTGGGCAAAAATGCAAGACCCTATTACAAAAATAACTAAAGCAAAAATGCTAGGGGTATAGTTTGAGTAGCAGAGTATCTGCCTAGCAAACTTCAATAGCACTAATCTAGTTAGTTAGTTAGTTAGTTTTGGTTTGGACTGGGGTTTTACTCAGGGCTTCACATTTGCAAAGCAAATGCTCTACCATTGAGCCACCTCTCTAGTCCATCTTGCTCTGATTTTTTTGGAGATAGGTATTGCAAATTAATTGCCCTGGCTGGCCTTGATCCACAATCCTCCCAAGCTCAGCCTCCCTAGTATCTAGGATTACAGGTATGCACCACCATAGCCCAGCAGTAGCACCAATTAAAAAAAAAGTTGCCAGGTACAGTAGCTCAAATCTGTAATCCTAGCTACTCAGAGGTGAAGATCAGGAGACTCACTGTTCAAGCTCAGGACAGGGGAAAATTTCATGAGACTCCATTTCAATCAATTGCTGGGAGCAGTGTCACCTGTCATCCCAGCTACTCGGGAAGCACAAATAGGAAGATCTTGGTTCAGGTCAGCTTAGGCATAAAGAGAGACCCTATCTCAAAAATAACCAACATAGTAGGGAGCGGGGAGAAATGACCCAAACATTGTATGCACATATGAATAAAAATAAAAAATAAAAAATAAAAAAAAAATAACCAACATAAAAAGGGCTAGAGGAGGGCTGAGGGCATGGCTTAAGTGTAAAGCACCTGCCTAGCAAGTGCAAAGCCCTGAGTTCAAACCTCAGTACTGCCAAAAAAAAATTTTTTTTTAAAGTAAGGCAAAAAGGGCTGGCAGATGGCTCAAGTGATAGCATGCCTGCCTAGCAGCATGAGGCCCTACATTCAACCCCAACACTGCCACCAAAAAAAAAAAAAATAGTAAAACATGGAAATTCTGCCAGCACTAACCAGGGCCGCCTTCTCAAGATCGGTTGCAGACACGCTCCTAGAGAAAAGCAGGGTGGCCTAGCAAGGCACCACAGCTTGACAGAAATACCCTCACGCAACAGGACAGCTGGCAAGAAGAGTGCAGGCCTCAGAATCACAAAACCCTGGGTTTATATCCCACCTATTCTACTTACTATGGAAGCGACCTTGGGCAAGTTATTTTGCCTCAGCTTCCTCACTTAGAAAAGGCATCGTAACAGTAGTTCCTCTCCAGGGTTGATGTGGAAAACAGAAGGAAGAACCATGATGAAGAGCCTGGCAGACATCAACAGAGAGTGCCTCCCTCCGTCCCTCAAAAACTTCACACATCCGCCCTGCTAACAGTGTAGCCCTCAGGCCTGTCGTGGTTTCTGGAGCAGACCTGTGCCAGGATGGACTGTACTAAGCCAATTACCGATGCCATTCATCCTCCCAACGTAAATGAATAAAACAGCATCTGCTTTATAAACCTGTCTCTGGTGATTGAGTTAGAATGAGTCATTGCTCCCAGAGCCTAATCACCTCTGGGGGAACAGATACAGTTGAATTTCTGGGCCTGTAAAGCTGCGGATGGATGATGGACTGAGTGGCCCCTGCCTCCCAGCAACAAAGATTAGGAGGAGAGATGCAAAAAGGAAACCATTGTTAGGAATCCATGTGGGATCATTATTAAACTTTCTGTGCCTTCAAATTCCCCCCCAGTTTCCTAGTATGTCTCCCCATTCCTTAGGCCCCAATCCCACGGAAAGCCAAACTGCGAGAGCTGGAAACAGAGCCCAGAAGAAAAGTCCTATGTAAAAGGCGGCACCTTCCTACTGGCAGAGGGACAGGGGGCATAAGGGGTCCTGGGGAGGAAGGAGCAGGGTAAGGTAAGGGGTGGTCACCTTGAGCAAGTTGAAGAGCAGAGGCAGAATCCGCAGAGGCAACAGCTTGGCCACAATGCCCAGTACTAGGGTGACATCCTCTCCTACGCGGCCTACGAGCTCAGCCACTTCCTTCCCCACCCGCTGCAGGGTGGTCTTGCGCAAGCCCAGCACAATGTAGAGGGCAGCCAGGTACTCTTGCATGGCAGGCACAGTAAACACAAAGGTACCCAGGTGTCCTGGCTCCACACATGGAGCCAGGAAAAACCTCAGGGCATCCCGGCGGAAGATGTGCAGCAGCTGAAACTCCTCCTCTGTCTTAATGCCAGCCTCTAGGCAGCCACGGACATCCTCTTCAGAGAAGTAGGTCTTGCGGGAGGACACCCCATCATAGGCCAACTTGCCCATGGTTCGGGCTGCATATGCCATCAGGGATAAATTGGAGGGGTCGGTGCTGTCCAGGGTTTCCCCACTGAAGTTGAGGCGCAGGAAGCTGGTATAGATGCTTGTGAGGGTCTGGCCAGCAGGCGTGGGGGCAAGCAGGAAGTGCAAAGTGGCACAGACCAGCCAGCAATAGGAGGGCAGGAAGCAGGCGGCAGCAATCTGGTGGTGTCCCTCTAGGTTTCGGGAGAGCATCTGCACCAGGTTGTCCTGATGAGCTGGTGTGGCTGAGACACCGGCACCCCCTGCGCTGTACCCACAGTCGGGCTGGTTGAGACGGATCTGGAAGTAGAGCTTCTGCAGGTTGGTATCAGAGAAGCCACAGATCTCACCATAGCGACCCACATACTTGCTGGGGATGCGGCTGATGGCAGAGGGCCGGGTGGTCACCAGAATGCTGGCCTGGGAAGGTAGAAGGTTAAGAAAGACCTTAGTGCCCTATTGCCTCAAGCCCCTGAAGATGGAGTGTCCAAGGATGAAAAAAAGGATGATGACTACAATAATTGTAACTCACAATTAATGAGCCTCAATTATGGTCCACAGCATTGAGCTAAGCACTTTATAGGCATTATCTCATTTAATCAGTGCAACGCAAGGATAGGACACAGAAGCTTGGGGAAGTTACTGACTTGCTCAAGGTCATACAACTGGGAAGAAGAGAGGCCACAATTTCAACTAACCCAGGGCCTATGCTACCCAACAAGCATGTGGGTTCAGGACACAAAACTCCTTCTGGGACAAGCCAAGGGGCAGAGGTTAGCAGAGTGTGATAAAGGGTCACCTACCTCAGGCAGCATGTATTTGCGCAGCAGGTTGACAATGATGGCAGCTGGTGCCCCCGGCTCATTAGGGTCACTACAAAGCCCTGTACCTGACAGCCGGAAGTCAAGGTTGAGACGCTCCAAGCCATGGAGCACAAAGAGCAGGCGGGACCCGGTAATGGCCATCAAGGGCAGAACCTCCTTCAGGGGTGTGTAGCGCTGGACCACAAGTTGGGACAAGGAGGCTGGGGCAGGGCCCAGGGATGACAAGTCCTCGCAGGAGAAGGGGATGAGCAGCTCAAAGGCAGGCAGCCGTCCATAACACCAGTCCAGGACCATCTTGCGCACCAACGTGCTCTTGCCTGTGCCAACTGTCCCATATAGCACCACAGTCTGCACCCGGCGCCCACAGGCATCTGGGTCAAAGAGCTGAGACAGAGCCAGTGGGGGAAGCCTGGCCCGGGGCCGTTCATGCTCCAGGGCCAGCTCTGCAGATGGGCGAAGCAGCTCATCAAGGGTGCTCTCGCGAATCACGGGGTCAACGTGGACCGTGTCTAGAGCAAATGTTGGGCCAAACTGGCGCTCCTCTCTGGGCAGCCGAGTGAACCACTCAGCTAGGTTCCGGCGGTGCTGCTGGATAGCTTCTAGATGAGAAAGCAAGGGACGTGGGTCAAGCAAAGAGATGGAGATGCTGGGGCTTAGGACCAACCAGGGTGGTGGTAAGTCAGGCTAGGAAGTCAAGACACAGCATCCAGAGTTGCATGGAGGCCCAGAAAATACAGATTGTTCAGAAAAATTAGAAGCACTGTGGCAGAAAGTGCTTCCAATGCTGAGTCTAGACAGACTAGCCTCATGGCTACCTGTGGATAGTCTTAATCTAGCTGCTGGCCCCCAAGATTGGCTGGAAGTAGAGAAAGTATGTCTCTCTAAGTGCTTTGTATATATTAAATGTGACCTGCATGAATATTGCAGGAAAGGATACACAGATGGATGGGAATGAGGGAAGGCTAGAGGGACCACTGATGGATTACAGCATTCTATCCTCCATGCTTCCGTCATCTTGCCTCTCCTTCCACACCATTCTCCCCTGTACATCCCTCCCTTCCCCAACAACATCCCAGCCAGTCCTTTACCAGCTGCAGAGATGCTCCCGAACAGCTGTCCATGCTTTCCTGGTGGGGGAGCACAGTCCATTGAGCTTCCATGTTGGCGTATTAGGGCCCTGGGAGCAAGCACAGGGGGATGAGCTGGGGCTTGAATCCTGGGCTCAGCCCCTGCACTGGCTGAGTCCAGGCAGCTCTGCTCTTCTGCTTCTTGCAATCCAGGCCTGACACAGGATATCCAACTCAAACCTTTGTCTAACTCTCATGTCCTTCCCAGGGACTGAGGCTTGGCCCTGGCCCTTCAGCCCCAACTGCTATCTGCCTGTCTGGAACTCAAGACTAGCCACTTCCAGATCCACTCATTTCCCACAGGTCCTGCTCCCTTGTCACTATATGGTACCAACACGCCAACTTTGTCCAGAACCTGGGAGCTGCCCTGGTACCCTCCCTGTCCCCAGAAGTACCATGTTCTGACTCTTCCCAGTCTCCTGGCCTGGGCCCACATGTATTCTAAGGCATGACACTAAGGCCTTACCTAGAGGGCCCAAGGGGATTCTGCCCTTTAAGGAACCAACTCCAGTGGACCAGGAAGGGGATCCGCTTAGCTACAGAGAGAAGGAAGAAACAGTATCTACACATCTATCTACATTTTCCAACACACAAACCACACATGTATACATCAAATCCCCCTTATTTGCTGTCACAGCAGCAAACATCCCTTGTAGCAGTTATTATGTAATCATATCTCATTACATGTTCATTTGATTAACATTCATTCTACTCCTCCATGAGAACAGGGATCATATCTGGGTTTGTTCACTATTGTACACCTAGACCTTAACTCAGGGCCTGGCAAATGGTTAGTACTCAGTAAATACAGGTTGAATGATTATTTTTTATTTATTTTGGCAGCACTTGGATTTGAACTCAGGGGGCCTCATACTTGCTAGGCAGGCACTCTACTGCTTGAGCCACTCTGCCAGCCCAATACCAGTTGAATGAAAAATGAAATCTGGGGAAGGGGTTAAGGGGAAGAGACGATGGGGCCAATGTAAATAATGTGCAAGACTGATTGGACCTGTCACTGTGAATTCCCCCTTCCCATAATGAATATAGCCTAATAAAAAATTTATGATAAAAAAAGAAAAATGAATTCAAACTTATGTAACTAGAAGGGGCCCTGGAACATCATCTAGTTCAGCTCCTTAATTTTAGGGTGGGATGAAGGAGGCTGAGGGACATGGTGACTAGTCCAAGGTCAACAGCTAAAGAGCCAAAGAACTGAGACTAGTGTACCTGGGGTCTGAATCCCTACTTTCTTGGAGGCACCTTCTGGACCCTGAGGACAAAGGGAGAGGTAGAAACAGAAACTGCAGCTTTCTGCTCACCTGGTATCTGCAGTGTTCTTCCCAGAGCAGAGCTCCAAGAGGCCCTGGGCAAATGGTGGCCCCACTTCATCCTGAAGAAGGTCAGAGCCTGGGGGACTTAGCACCACTTCTCTCCTGTCCTACAAGAAGAATGGTATGGGACTGGTGATGTAGCTCCGGGTCGAGTGTTTGCCTAGCATGCATGAGGTGCTGGATTGGATTCCCACTACCAAAAAAAGAAGAAGAATGATGTAAAGGAGAGGCCTCCTCCCAGGAGAGCAGGTAAAGTTCAGCCCTTCCTCAGATTTGTTGAAGCTCTGGCCTGGCTCCCAGCTCTCCTCCAACAAGGATAATCCCAACCTAAATGATCCCATATTATTTTCTACCACCTCTTGCAAGACTTCACAAAAGCCTTTGTCCTGAGTTCCAGCCCAATAATCTGCTTTTAGGTAGTTTTTTTTTTTTTTTTTCTTTTGGCTTGGCTGTCAGCAAGCTCAGATAGGAGTCCTGTGTTCATTCCCAGTGGCTTTTCTGAGCCTAGATTTTCCAGTAATAATTATCCTCTCCCTGCTGCCTTTGTTCTCCAGCCATCAGGTCCTCTTAGCTGAGTTTTAATGGTTTTATCACTTTATCTTCTCTGTGACTTTTATGTAAGCTGCCTTTGAGACTGGCATAAATAATAAATGAATGAGTGAATGAACTCCCTACTTGACATCTCCATAAGGATATGCTGCCACTGCTTCAAACTTCACCCATGCCAAGCTGCTCTCATCACACCCCCTTCCCCTTTTAGTAGTGAGTGACTTTGCTTCAGAGCTTCCCGAACACTGGATCTACACTGGTAACCTAGCCTTTTGTTCAAGTCCTTCCCCCCTTGGCCCTTTAGGCAGGGGTCAGTCTCACCAACCTCCCCCTCTCCCACGGCTTTGCCTACCAGCCCCCTATTGCATTATCCTGTGCTAACTCAGACCCTCCCAGGACTTACATGACCCCCCACCCCCGCCAATCTCCTCATGGCCTCTCTGCCTCAGTCTCATTCCAATCCCTCATCTCCCTCACTGCAGGCACTAATTACCTCCCTAAAGGCCTAGGTACTTACAGCTATAAATGCCTGGCCCACACAGTTATCTTTCTGTGTTTGCTCCAGTGCACGTCTTTCTCTGGGCTCCCAGATTCTTGCTCTCACTTTTCTAACTTTGTTCACACACTTTCCTCAGCTTGGAATTAATTCTCTTTCTTCTCTATCAGAATCCTACCTGTTTTGTTTTTTTGTTTTTTTTTTTTATTTACTGGGGTTTAAACTCAGTGCCTCACTAGGCAGGCTCCATACCACTATAGCCACACCCGCAACCCTTTCTGCTTTAGTTATTTTTCAGGTAGCGTCTCAAAGCTTTTGACCTGGCAGGCCTGGAACAGGATCCCCTCCTATTTAGCTTTTTGTTGGGATGGGTCTCATTAAATTTTCACCTGGGATGACCTGTAACTGTGATTCTCACCATCTTCCTCTCCTGAGTGGGTGGGATTAGAGAAATGAGGCTGCACCCAATCTTTAAGATCCTACTCAGTTGGTGGCGTGGCTCAAGTGGTAGAGTGACTGCCTACCAAGCGTGAATCCCTTGAGTTCAAGCCCTAGTACTGTAAAAAAATAAAAGAAAATTTAAAAATTGAGCTAAGGATCCTGGGCAAAGTCCTTGCTCCTGGGAAGTCTTTCCTGAGCCCTTTACCCTGTTGTGAGCTCACGTTTGGGCCTGGCCTCCTTCGCTGAGAACAGGAATTAAGAGAAGGGCACATTTGGGGTGAAGTGGCTGCGTGACCCAATCGGCTTAGCAGAGCCAGCCAGAGCAGGACAGCAGTAAGCAAAGGAAGGGAACACAGCAGGAAAAGTTCAGGGACGGTGTTCCCACGGGTCCAAGGCTCCCCCACCGGACTGGATCCCACCACACAGCTCTCCTACTTCCAGATGGCTTCGGGGACCAGAGTGGAGGGGAGGCGTGCTCCCATCCGGCGCGCCAGCTCTCTCCTCGTTCCGGACGCGAACTCCCAGCCGCACTTGCCCAGCCCCCAACCCCACCCTCGCCCAGGCCCAGCGCAGCCGGGGCCCGAGGGCGATCGAGCCAGCGAGGCCTTTACCCTGGCTGCCCAGGCCCGGCGGGGCGGCGGAACGGAAGCCGGCGTCTCCCGCGGGCTCCCAGCGTCCCCGGCTCGCTCTGCGCGGCGCTTCCTGCCCGCCTCCGCCCGCCTGCGCCCAGCCCGGCCGACCTGGCACGCGGCCCTGGCACGGGCACCGGAGCCGAGCTGAGGTGCGCGGGTCGCCGGGTCCTGGCACAGGGGGTCAAGCGAGAGCAGGCGCCGGGTAGGGACGCCTGCCCCACCCCGTGTCCTTGGTGGTGCCCTGTCACCGGCACTGCCCCCTGCAGGTTCCCAAGCGCCACCCCACCGAATGACCTTGCTAATCACTTCCCTGGCTGGGCTCGTTGATATGCCCATTTTACAGGTGAAGACACCGAGGCTAAGACGGATGAAATGACTCCCGCGGGTTGAACCAGTTAAGAAGTGGACGAGCGAATTAGCCGAGGTCGCCCACAGCGGTGGCTGTGGCTCCGAGGATGGGGGGACGGTGGGGGTGAGGGACTCGCGCCCCTCCCCAACCCCGTCGTGAGCCAGCGGGCGGCAGGACCCGCCCCCCGCGGGAATCCTGGGGACGTAGGTGACGGTCACCCCATCAGCCTCTCCAGGCTCTCCAAGGCCCATGTGGTTCCCTGAACCGGAGGCCAGGAGCGCGGACCCCTAGGGTGCGGAGGGCCACACGCCCTAGGGGCCACGGTGGCCGCGGGCTCGGCCACCCAGTGGGGGAGGAAAAGCAGGGTTCGCAGCCACGATGGGTGCTTGGGGACACAGCCGGGTGGGGAGCGCTTGCGGGGCGTGGGAGCCCTGGTGCGGTTGGGGGGAGGAAAGGAAAGTCCTGTGCGGGACGCAGTCACTGCCGGGGCTCCCTTTGGGCTCTGGGAATGTGTGCAAGACTTGGGGGGCTGGCACCAACTCTGCTTTGGGGGACCGAACTTGAAGGATTAGAATATTGGGGAGGGGGGTGTGGAGCGAGCGAGCGAGCCAGAAAGAGCGAGTAAGACCGAGTGAGATTGAGAGATTCCAGGAAAGAAGGCTGAGAGCACAGCCTGTGCAAAGGTGCGGGGCAGCAAGACGTTTAAACCTGGCTGCAGGGTGATGATGTGGTAGAGAATTTACCTGGGTTCCATCCCCAGTACCACAAAAATAAACATAATAAAATATAAATAAATAAATATTGGGGCTGGGATAGGGCTCAAGTGGGAGAGGACCTATCTGGCAAGATCTAGGCCCCAAGTTTAAACCCCAGTCTGGCAAAAAAAAAAAAAAAAGAAAGAAAAATAAATTAATTTAAAAAAAAAGAAGTGGACGAGCAAACTTGGGCCCCAGGGCACCTGTACCTCTCTCCCTGGCCACCTCCTCAGCCTTCCTCCATGCACAAAATTGAGCCCTTCTTGGGTTTCTTTCTTCCTCTTCTTCTTCTCCTTCTCCTCCTCCTCCTCCTCCTCCCTCTTCCCTCCTTCCTCCTTCCTTCTTCTTCTTCCTCTTCTTTTCTTCTTTTGTTTCTTTTTTCTTTCTTCTTTGCAGTACTGGAGCTTGAACTCTGGGCCTTTACATTGAGCCACTCTACCAGCCCTAATTTTGTGAAGGGTTTTTCAAGATAGGATCTTGTGGGCAGGGAACTATTTGCCTGGGCTGGCTTCAAACTATGATCCTCCTGATCTCTGCCTCCTGAGTACCTAGGATTACAGGAGTGAGCCACCGGTGCCCGGAGGGTCCTTCCTTCTGTATCCAGCCCTCTTCAGACTCCAGATCTCTATGTCCTTTGGTCACTTTAGTCAGGAAGGATGAAGAAGGGGACCTGATAGACAGTTCCCACCCCATCCTGCTCTTCCTGTCTGACATCCAGTCAGGGTTTTTAGCTCTAGCACTTCCGGGTCCTCAAAGATCTCACCCTTATCCCTGAGCTGCCAGGCAAGGAACACTCAGTGCTCTCCTAGCTCAAATGGCGGAGCCACCCATTAGTGCCAGACAGGGCACACCTCCACATGCAAACATAGGCAAGCAATGTGTCAGGAACAGAGGTGTTGCAGAGGAACTCAGAGATGCTCCCCAGGGCAGGGCAGGAAGAGGGCTTTGTGGTCTACCCTCCTTCCAAACAGAAGACAATGTGGATATTTCACTTAGAGGACTGTCCTTTCAATGAATGTGTGATATTGAGCTAATACTGAGAACCCTATCCCTGTGCCCGGGTACCCTGTACCCGGCCCTGGGCTGCCAACCACAGCAAGGCATGCAGGAACCCACCACCACGTTTACAACTGATGTACTTAAGAGGCAGAGGCAAAGGTTTAGGAAAGACTGGAAGAGGAGGCTACTACCTGCTCCTGGAAGAGGTGACATTAAACTGGATGTTAAAAATAAGTCAAAGCCAGGCATGGTGGCACACCTGTAATCACAACACTTGGGAGGCTCAGGAGTGACATTTTGGGCCTGAGGGACTCTGGTTTCACTGCACTTATCTACCATGCAAAGCAGTCACCTGGCTGCAGTTACTGATCATAGCTCAGATCAACCCAGTCCCCTCCCCCATGGGTATGACAGCATGTGGTTTTATTAATAACATATAATTTGACTGGTCTCTTGTAGACAGAAATCCTGTGAGTCATGCTGTGGGCATGTCCTCTGTTGTCTGAGCTCAGGATGGAGCACCAGGTGCTCTAAAAGCCATACCATGGAGAACTATCTTGTTCAACTGTGCCCTCCAGCACTTGCACAGCCTTGGTGCAGAGACGGTGATTGTGTTAAAGTACATGGCCTGAGTTCCAGCAGCTGGGACTCAGGGCGAGAGGACCCATTTCCAGACATGCCTAAATGGGCAGAGTGCATTTATGCCCAGGCAGAGTGGGTTACTGGGACTAATGGGAGGCAAAGCAGTGGGTTACAGTAGCAAGAACACAGTGCCTTGAGAGTTTGCTTAAGTCATCTTTCCTAGTTTTGGTTTCTCTTTTCTGTAAAAGGAGATGTGCTCATCCTAGCCCCCTCATGTAGTTGTTGCAAAGTGCCCTTTGCAAACTTGTGAACCACTTTCCAAATGTTCTCTGTGCCTGAATGACCCTTGCTGGATTCAGAATGGATATTTGCTTATCTCCCTGTGGCACTTATAAATGTGTGAATTTATAAACACTTAACTCTTCAGAAGTATTTGCATTAAAAAAAAATGCAGTGGCTCAAGTGGTAGAGCACCTGTCTTGCAAGCATGAGGCCCTGAGTTCAAACTCCAGTACCACAAAAAAAAAAATTTGAGAAAAAAAAAGAGGGCGGGGATGTAGCTCAGTGTTAAGTGTTTACCTAGCATACACAGGGCCTTGTGTATCCCCAGTATGGAAAGAAAAAAAAAAAGATGAAGAATCTTAAGAAAGAACCTGATGGTGAAGGTTCATGCCCTTTGACTTATATGGCGTAATCTACTGGTACCACTCCAGACAGAAGGGGATTCCAGAATGCCTCCCATAGCAACTAGGATTTAGACTTCTTCCCATGTCCTACTCTTATCCAAACCCTCTGAGAAGCAAAGTTAGCCCATCTCCACTCAGAGATTGGCTCCTAGGCCAGCCCAAGGTACTTACTCTACAGGTAACACTACTAGGCATCTGGCAGGGCTGGTGTCAGTCTCTTGCTTCAATCCCCAAACTTCAGACCCATGGTGGAAGAGGGTAAGACAACATCTCACAGTGGGTCCTCTTGCCAGAAGCCCTCAATACCCTTGCAACCCTTACCTACTCCAAATCTCTGGCCTATAGTCCTGGTTCAGCCCTGGTAAGTGTGGCCCAATGAGAAAGGAGAGGGGGAAAAAGGAGAAATCTGGAGTAAGCCAGTGGTGTCTGCCACTCCCACTCTAGGGCGGAGGATCTAGGGGATCTCTTGCTTCTCACTCCTCTTCATGACTCCTGATAACACTCACTCCTGTCAGCACAACCAGGGCAAGAACTCACCCATGCAATACACATGGGAACCCACATGCAGCATGCACACCCAACCACAAACAAGGGTCACACCAATGCCAAGAACCAGGAGTCTGGCCAGGTGCCAGTCATTCACACCTGTAATCCTAGCTACTTGGGAGGCTGAGATCAGGAGGAGCCTGGTTCAAGGTCAGCCCAGGCAAATAAGTCTGTAAGACCCCAATCTCCAAAATAACCAGAACAAAATAGACTGGAGGAGTAGTTCAAGCAGTAGAGTGCTTGCTTTGCAAGTGTGAAGCTGTGTTCAAACCGAAGTCGTCGTCCCCCAAACCCCCTGCCAAAAAAAACCAAAAAACAAAACACAAGTTTGGAGGCAGACCTGGTCTCTAGCCTGAGTCTGCCCCCACTGCCTGACGGTCCTTGGCAATTTACTAACCCAATACTCTATACAATGATTGTCACAAGGAACAGTGTAGAGTTGGCCTAGGTCTTCCTTGAGATAATGAATGTGAAGCATTGATAAGATGGAAAGCACGATACAAATATTTCATATGATACACACTCAGTAATCTGACATGTAGCCCCACTAATGTGACTTAGCACCCCTGCCACCCACACCCTAAAACTGACAGACATCCTGCCAAATGCTTTGAAGCCCCCCTCATAGTTCAGTAGACCCCCATACATTTGTGCATGGCATACTGTATAAATATAGGTTTTATTAATAACAGGTGAAATCCCACAAATTCAACTGGCATCTCTGTGTCATGAGAACCTGTGTGGCAGGGTGAGGGAAGGTAGAGAGGTATGAGTACAGAAAGAAGGTGCTGGGCACAGGCCCTGGGGAAGGGGAAATGAAAGAAGAATGAGTTTGAGTAAGTCTGAGCCCATCAGGAAAGCCAGACATGCTCTAGGTGTGTCTGCCACCTTGGTGCCCAGGACATGTTGTCTGACGCTGATGGGAAGGGGGTGGACAGATGTGGACAGAAGTTTGAATGAGCAGCAAGCAGCTAGGGAAAGGGGCACGAGAGTGAGAATATCAGCTTAGAACACAAAAGGAGAGCCATGGGGCGGAGGTGGCCAAGGCCAAGCTTCTGCCTGTGTTTGTGCTTGTTGGGTCCTAATCTCCAGTGCCACCCCTGGCTTGGGAGGGAAGGAAGACTAGGGGTAGACACCTGCAGATCCTGGAGTCACCCTGGGCAACACCACCCTCCTCCCTAGAGTCTCCAAAGTGATATTCCTGGGAGGAGGTTGGCAGTGCCTTTCCAAAGCACCCTCCACAACCATCTCCGTGCCACCATCACTCTTCCTCTGAACCCTGTGCCAAGTGGATGGCGCATGTGTAGAGCTGAGATTGCCTGCTTGCATGTATGTGCCTGGAATTCTGGAGAGCGGAAAGAGCACGTGGAACCACGTCAGGAGCAGCAAGAAAGGAGGGTTGGGTCTTACCCCTGCTCACCCCCCCAGAATAAAGTGCATTCTCCAGTTCCAGTGGCAGGGGGGAGAGAAACAGACATTATTGCAGAGGTGCCACCTGGCCCTACCCTGATCAAAGGTATAGGGAGGGGGTACAGGACATCCCAAAGCCTCTCCAATCCCCAGGACTGGGAGTGGTGACCCAGACAGAAAACCCAGCTTCTGTCCTAGCAGATTGTCCAAATCAGCCAGGGTCTTTAGGGAGGGAGGAAGGACGAGAGAAGATGGAAGAGACTTCCAGAGTCCCTCCCTGCTTCATTCCAATGTCCGTGATGGGGCTCCCAGGGGGCCCCCCAGGGCCCAGCCCTGGAACTCTAACCTTCAGCAGCCTGGTTTACAAACACTGGTGTGGTGGGGACCCCCAGAGGGGGCCACTTTGATCACTGGGGGCCCAGAGAACTGGGGGCTCCCAGGCAGACAACAGAGGAGGATGCCGAGGGTGGGAAGGAGCTGGCAGCCTCCCAGTGGTCTTTGCATGCAGGTGTTGGAGAGAGTAGGGAGGAAGCTACAAACAGCATCAACTTGGGAAGACTCCTGGGCATGGTGGGGAGGACGGGAGCCCCAACCCCAGGCCAAGGCTGGGAGTGCAGTCCCACAGCCAGTCGATGGAGCAGCCAAGGGAGAGAAGGGTGGCTGCACCAGCAACCAGGTCTACAAGGTTAAAACAGTCCCAAAGGGCTGGGGCTTGGGGCTTCCTGCTGTGGGGGCCGGGCACAGGCCAAGGGCAAGGCTCTATCTCTCAGACTTGACCCGGTACCGGAGCACAAGGTAAGCCAGCAACCGCAGGGCCAGGAAGAAGATGCCCAAGACCAGGAAGTCCACGTAGAGCTTGGCATCCTCAACGTCAAGGGCTCGCAGGATGCTCTGCGGCTCCCGGAATGGGCAGCGCTCCTCCAAGCATGTCAGGTCTCCTCGCTCCATGCCATAGATGGTCAGGATTGTACCCTCAAAGCCATACCTAGACAAGCAAGCAGGACACAGAGTGCAGAACCCCTGCTCCTTCAGCAGACTGCCAGAGCCCAGTTATAATACTCTCATCCCCCAGGGCCAGGCCAGGGTGCCCCTGCCCAAAGGGTGGTGGGGCAGGTGCTAGACTTGGCATAGCCCAGGAAGAGCTGGGAGGGCCTCCTGCAGGTCGGGGCAAGGGCAAGTGGAGAGGGAAGAGGCACCAACCTGACATAGGAGAGGTAGGAGCTCCACTGCAGGTAAGTGGGGATGGTCTTGAAAGTGACAAAGAAGCCAGAGAATAAGAGGACAGGGATGGCAGTAACTGGACCCACAAAGGTGGCAACCTGGAGGGAAAGAAAGGAAAGAGAAGGGGAGGGAGGAGGGCAAGGCTGTCACAGTGATGACCAGGACTAGGGTACCCCCAAAGTTTCTCTCAAGTCCATCCCAGCCCTTATTCCAGTCCTCGATCTCTCCATGAGAGCCCATCCTTGCTTGGGAATCCTCACCTGTAAGGAGTTGGAGGCAGCTCCAATCAACAGTCCCAAAGATTGGGCCACTAAGGCGGTGGCTGTGGCCAAGGCTGAGAAGAGCAGGAAGCGGCTAGTCTCCGCTGGCTGGCCTGTCATCCAGTACACAATGCTGCAGTATACCAACGGGCACATCACCTGGGGAGCAGGCACACAGCTGGGCAGGGACTTAAAGCCAGGGACATGTGGCCTAGACCCTCCACTCCACCCAGAAATGAGCTCCCTACTCTTGTTCATGCTGCTCCCTGAACTGACACACATCTCCTTCCCTGTCATATGAACCTCGTTCATCTTCCACTAGGCCTGTTCTAATCTGTTTGGGCACCCACTGTGACTTCTCCCTTCTCTAAGCGTCTGATGTCCTTTCCATCTTCTTTATGCTGTTAATGGAATTAGCTCTCCCTGGGAGAGTATTTGGTTCCCCCTCGAGGCTATCAACTTTGTGGATACAAAGAGGCAGATATGTAGGTTCAGCAGTCTAGAGAGCTAAGGTGCAACATAGAGACTACAGTTAATAAAATTACATTGTATCAAGAAGTTTTGCTAAATAAATATACTTAGTTGCTCTTATCACAAAAAGTAACTATATGAGATAATGGATGTGTTAATTTCCTTCACTTTACTCTGTGTACCTATCACATAACATCATCTTGTAAACCTCAAATAGAAATGATAATTTTTTTTCTTGGCAGTACTGGGAATGGAATTCAGGACCTCATGTACTCTACCACTGAGCAACACCTCCAAATCAAAATTTATCTTATTTTTTTTTTGGTGGTACTGGGATTTGAACTCAAGGCCTCATACTTATAGGCAAGTGCTGTACTACTTTGAGCCATGCCTCTAGCCTTTTCCATTCATCTGTTGATGGGCACTTAGGCTGATTCCATATCTTAGCCTCCTTTTGCCTGGGGCCAGCCTTGGAGGGACAGTCTCCCCAATGTTTGCTTCTCAAGTAGCTGGGACTACAGGCATGAGCCACCGTGCCTGGTCTTTATTTATTTGTGTTTACAGAGAGAGTATGGCTTATAAATCATTTAGGGCTAGAAGGGTGGCCCAAGCAGTAGAGTGCCTGCCTAGCAAGCATGAGGCCCTGAGTTCAAACCCCAGTACTGCCAATAAATAAATATATAATAGAGAGTATGAACTTCTGGGGCTGGTAGAGTGGCTAAAGTTGTACAGAGCCTGCCTTGTAAGTGCAACCCCAGTACTGAAAAAAAAAAATTTAAGAGTAAGAACTCCAGGGAGAGAGGAACTAAACCCACAATTATGCAAGTTGTTCCCTGTGCAAAGGTGCCTGAAGAGAGGCAACCAGAGGCCCAGATCCAGACTGGGCTCCTCTCCCTGAGCCCTGTGTACTAGACAGTGCAGCAACCACCCTGAGGAAAGGGCACCTTTTTGTAATTTGTACAAAGGTACCTTATAGAATATTGGTGGCCCTGATACCTAGAACAAGGTGGTAATGGCAATAACAAAAACTAGATACCATTTCTTAGAATGTGCCAAGCACTATTTTAAGAACTTTATAGCTGGGCATGTAGTACACACTTGTAATCCCAGCACTCAGGAGTGGAGGCAAGAGGATCTCAGTTCTAGGCTAACCTGGGCTATACATATAGTAAGTTGCATAGTGAGACTTTGTCTTAAAAAAAAAAAAGAAAAGAAAAAAGAACTTTGCACATATTAATTCATTTAGTTCTCACATACAACCTCGAGATAGATACTGTAGTTATTCCATTTTATAGACGGGAACATATAAGCAAAGAGGTATTAGGTGACTTGCCCAATGTCATAGCTTACAAGTGGCAGTAAGGCTCCAGAACCTACGCTACTTTCTAGTGCCTCTAATAATGATAAGAGCCTCTCTAGTCATTTAAGGGCTGGGGATGTAGATCGGTGGTAGAAAGCTTGCATAGCATGCTCAGAGCCCTGGGTTCAATCCCTAGCACTGCAAAAAAGAAGAAAAAAAAGTCCTTTAGACCAAGAGTGTGGCCCAAGTGGCATAGCACAAGCAAGAGGCCCTGAGTTCAGTTCCCTGTACCACATGTGGAGGAGATGCTTCTTCTTCTCTTTCCTATTTCTCCCTCTTTTTTCCTGTTTTACTAAAATTAATCCTTGCTAAACTTCTAAAAAAAAAAGGGTTAATCATTTATATAGGGTTGTTATGTTTATTGTTTTGGTTTGTTGTCAGTGCTCCCTCTAAACCATAGGTTCCACAAGGTCAAATCTATCTCATTCTAGTCCACTACTGTATTTCTGGTGCCTGGAGTAGAGCCTGGTACAGAGCAGGTACTCACCACTTTTTGCTGAGTGAGTAGGTGGAAAGGATGAAAGACCGCAAGGCTGAAGGAGGCCAGCAAGCAAGGACGGAAGGGGTGAGCCAGCAGGGGTAGTGCATGGGTGGGAGGAAGAGGCTCACCTGAAAGGGCACATCAGCCATGGTCTTGGCCAGGTAATACGCTTTGAGGCTGTACCAGTAGTTGAGGTGCTCCCTCATGAAGACTGCCATCTCTAGGGGGACTGAGGACACAAGTGGATCAAGCTTCCCTGGCTGACCCTTGGCTCCTAACTTGTGCCCCAGCACCCAGGCCCCACCCCTCAGGCAGCTCAGCTCACAGGTGAGCACTGTTGGCATGAGCGCAGCAAACATAAGGAACAGCATGGAGAAGAAGAGGCAGCCAGTGTTGTTGAAGACCTTGCTGGCATCGTCACCAATGTGCAGGTAGAGCAGACCAATGAGCACGCCGATCACCACATGGGATATGAACCGCAAGTGAGTCAGGACCTGTGGAAGGGGTCATCCCAGAGAAGGATGTGTCCTGTGGCCTGCCCAGACCACACTGGGATAGGACCCACAGGTGCGTTGGATGGTGTGGGACAGCCATCCCAGCTGCTAGAATCCTACAGCCCAAAAGGCCAGGCCTGTGCCTCTGTCCCCCAACATGATGCCTCACCGTGTCCCTGAGGATGGACAAGAAGCTCCTTCTGAAGAGGATGCAGAACTGGGTGAGGGTGCTGGTGGCAAAGGTGTGGCTCTCAATGGGATCCACATCCTGAGGGGAGGAAATGAGACCAGGGGAGTCTACCCCACCCACCCACTGCCCACCAGTTTAGTGAATGGCACCTGCCTCCCCCCAGCCCTTCTGTAGAGGTCTACAGAAGAAGCCTCCACCCCTGAGTTGTGCTCCTGGAAGCTGGGTTTACGGATGTGAATCCCAGGGAGACTGAGAGACACAAGGAGAGGGTAAAAACATGGGATGGAGGAGATGGGAAGGAGTCAAGGACCCCTAAGTGACACCCAAGTGAATTAAAGTCACTTCTTTTATTTATTCACATTAATCATAAGGGCATAATTCCGTTAGGCCACCAGTTTCACAATAATATTATTAAATAATGAAAACAATGATGATAACAATAACCAAGCCTCTGGTTTTTAAGGGTGACAGTATCTCATCTAGGGAAGAGAGCTGGCATGGGACAGATGCCTGTTGCCCCAGTGGGTGCCAAAAACTCCCCATGTGATTATCTAATTAGCTCCTCCCAGCAATCCTGGGAGGTGTCATGACCTCTGGGTTAGAGATGACAGAAGGCCACACTGGCCACGAAGCCAGCAACTACGTGGGCCATGCTTACCAGATAGGCCATGTGGGGGCACTGACGGCAGTGGCCTTTAGATGCTCACAGAGCTTGCTGGATGAGTGAGTGGATGAGGAAACCAAAATTCAACCAGTTAATGGGCTGAGGTCTCACAGCTGTTAATAAGTAGGTCTGTTCCACGACCTGGTCTTCTGAGTACCCAATGCTGGCAATGTCTCAGGGTAATAGCCTCTTGGGCAGGACCACTGTCCACGGCCCCTCTCCCCTCCACCACTCTGCTCTCTCTGCCCTCTCCACCCCACTCACCGATGGGCAAGTGGGGCAGTGGGCAGGGACCTCGTTCTTCTCAGAGCTGCTCTTCTTCTCGGCCATGGCACAAAGCCCATTCTGCACAGCCCTGAACAGCATAGGGTTTAGGTCTCCATACTCGCCAGATGCCACCTCAATGACTAGGGGACACAGCAGAGTGCTCAGCTAGGCTTTACCCTTGCCTCCCCAGGGCAACTCAGCCCCTCCTCGGGTGTGCAGGGAAGACAGTTGACAGTGAGATTCCTACCCACACTGAGGGTGTGAGATCCCTGAACACATGACCCAAGCCCCCAGGTCTGTCCCACCAATGTGTCCCCCCACACACACACACACAAAGACCGTTACTCACTGAAGTCAGCTGGGTTGTGATAGGTGGGGCAGTGCAAGCCAAGCCCCTTCAGATAGGGGATCAGGTTGGTAACCACGCCCTTGAAGATGCACTGACCCTGGCTCAGGATGTAAAGCTGAGACAGAAAGCAAGAGCAAGGAAAACACAACCAGTGGGCCAAGGACCCCGCTGCTACCTCTCCTGACCCTCCATCCCTCCATCTTAGGCCCACCTTCTTTGACACCCAGAGATACTCACCTTGTCAAACATCTCAAAGAGCTTGGCACTGGGTTGGTGGATGGTGCAGATGATGGTGCGGCCTCCCTGGGCTAGGGACTTCATAAGGGACACCACTTGGAAACAAGAAGCACTGTCCAGACCGCTGTCCAAAGAAAGGCCACCGGGGGGCGGGGGCAGATGAGGTGGGCAGTGCCAAGAGGGCAGCAGAGAATGGGGCGGGGCAGCTGCTGTAAAGAGGATGGAACTGGCAGGAAGGGGACTCTCTAGCCACCTCTATATCCTGTGCACCCATTTGGAGTTACTCCAGAAACCAAGAGCACTGTTCGGTTTAACAAGCATATTTTTTGTTGTTGTTGGCTTCTCTCTCTCTCTCTCTCTCTCTCTCTCTCTCTCTCTCTCTCTCTCTCTCTTGCAGCACTGGGGCTTGAACTCAGGGCCTACACCTTGAGCCACTCCACCAGCCCTTTTTTGTGGTGGGTTTTTTCGAGATAGGGTCTCTCAAACTATTTGCCTGGGCTGGCTTCAAACTGCAATCCTCCTGATCTCTTGCTTCTGGGGAGCTAGAATTACAGGCGTGAGCCACGGGTGCCCAGCAAAAAGCACATATTGAGCACTTGTTCTATGCCAGGTACTGGAATTACAATGATGCATAAATAAGACTCTGGTCTGGAGGGAGAGATAGAAGAACTCACAGTTGATTTTAGGGAATGAGGAAAGTGCTATAGCAACAGAGGGTGATAGAGAGGCGGGGAATCAGCCATGCTGTAGCTGGATGTTGGAAGGCAGCCAGAGAAGATTCCTGAATGAGTCTAAAGAAATAAGCGCTAAGCTGGTGAAGGAAGAAGGGGAGGTCAGGCGACGAAGGGCATTCCAGGCAGAAGACACAGCACAGGCAAAGCTTAAAGGCATGAAACACATGGTTTAACCAGCAAATTACAAGCAACTCAGTGTTATTAAAGCGTAAGATACAAGACACGAGGTTGGAGAAACAGGCTCAGACCAGGACCTTGTAAGCCATCTGACTTTATTCTGAGGGCAAATGGGACTAACTGCATGATCTGAAGCAGGGGAGGGGGTCTTGTCTTTTAGAAAGTCCACTCTGGTTGCAGGTTGGAAGGATTAGGTGGGAGACACTGGAGATGGAGATGAGAGTCTGTTGACGAAGTCCTGAACGCAAGCATTGGCACTAGGGATGGGGCAGGGCCAATCTGAGAGCTACCCAAAGGAGGTAGAATCAACAGGACTTGGTGACTAATAGCTGTGGGGGAAGGAGAAGGAGGCATCAATCAAGGGAGGGGGTAGAGGGTGCTGGCTGCAACAGGACTGGCAAGGATGGAGATCAGGAGTCAGCCCTTATCTTGGCCCCAGGAGGCTGCAAACAGGGGCTAGGTCTCAGGCCATGGAGAAGAAGCAGCCGCCTCCAGCCCTGGCACAGGGCTGAGGGAGGAGACTCCTGCAAGGGGTTGGAGAACTACCTGGTGGGCTCATCAAAAAACATGACAGGTGGGTTGTTGACCAGCTCCAGGGCGATGGCCAGGCGCTTTCTCTGCCCACCAGAGAGCAGAGCTGTCCTCGTGTGAGAGCAGGACATCAGGCCCAGTGCTGTCAGGATCTCCGTCACCTGGAGCCACCCCCACGCAGCCCAGATCAGCTTCAGAATGACCACTTCCCACAGGTACCACCCCAATTTCCCAAAGCATTTCCCTTAAGCCCTGTCTCCACCTGGCTGGCACTCTCCTACCTCCACCCCCACTCACTTATTAGCCCCACAGAGGGCACTGTCCCCTCGCCTGCCCTTCCCCACTCACCAGTTCCTTCTTCACCTCTTGCTTCTCACTCAGCTTCAGGTTGGCAGAGACCTGGGGCCCAGAGAGCAGGCAAGAAAGGTATGTGTGGGAGGGCACTGCTTGGAGCCCTCAGGCGATGAGGATAATTGGGGACAACGGACAGTAGGGGGGCTTGGAGGAGGGAATGACCACAACTGCGCTCACCATCATGGCTTCCAGCACCGTGAGGTGTGGCAGCAGCATGTCGTCCTGCATGATGTAGCAGGACATCTTGCGGAAGGTCCTCAGCTCTCTCGGCCTCCCATTGACCAAGATCTGCCCTTTCATTCCAGACTCCCTGTGGAGACATTGGTTGGGGACAAAGGTCAAAGCCACTTCAGAACATCTTCCATGCTCCCCAAGGGATCCTGACTCCTGAGTCCTGCCTCCACTCTTCTCCCTCCATGTCCTCACCTGTACCCTGCCAAGATGTTCATGAATGTGGACTTGCCAGCCCCTGAGGGGCCCATGATGCCAATTAGTTCCCGGCGGCAGAATTTACCAGATAGGCACTTGAGGAGGGTCTTATAACCTGTCGTGGGGAAGGGAAGAGTTTGTGGTCAGGGCTGCAGTGAACAGAGGCACCCCCAAAACTCCTAAGAGCGATTGTGGCTATCGGTGATAAATGCAGGTCTTGGTCAGTGTGATTGGGCCAGGATAGAGAAGCAGCCCAAATGACTTATAACTTCTCAGCCACTAATGTCAAAATACCAGAGATGCCAGGCTCCGCACTGGTGGCTCACGCCTTTAATCCTAGCTACTGGAGTCAGAGATCAGGAGGACAGTGGTTCAAAGCCAGCCCAAGCAAATAGTTTGTGAGACCCTATCTTGAAAATACTCAACACAAAACTGGGCTGCTAGAGAGGCTCAACTGGTAGAGTGCCTGCCTAGCAAGTGTGAGGCCCTGAGTTCAAACTCCAGGACTGCCAAAAACAAACAGAGGTGACAATCTTCTGAAGGCTGTGGGAAAGTCTATACCTCTTGTAGGTGGCTGTGGGAAAAAGGTCAAGGTCCTGGAAGACCCTGGTTCTCTTTCAGAATCACAGTGGTCAGGGTCTCCCACCCTCCAGGGAGACGTCCCCACTGAACCAGCCCAAGCTGGTTGACTATTTCCTGTGTTCTCATAGCACTTCTCATTGCCAGCATATTTGTCACTTGATGTGCCTGTCACTCACTCCCCTCCCCCAACCTCTTAGTCAGTGAGCTCCTTGGGAGCAGGGTGTGTGTCTTGAATTCCCTTCCCACCTTGGGATGTGTGTCTTGCTTATCTCTGTAACCTTGGCATCTCTTTAGCATGTAATAAATAGATGCTCAGTAAGTGTGTGTTCTCAGAGCTTTTGCTTCCTTCTGACAAAAGAAAACCTACCTTTTTTTCTGTGCTCTATCCTCCAAGCTTAGCTTTCCAGCCCCTAATATGGCCCTCATAAAACCTCACCTTTCATTGTCTCATTAGGAGGCAGCATATGCAAAAGAGCACCAGGTCTGAAATCAAGTGGATCTGCATTCAAATTCTAGCTCCACACTTACCAGCTGTGTGACCTCAAGCAAGTTGCTTAACCTTTCTGAGCTCCAGGTCCCTCATCTGTAAAATGAGGATGATAGCACCCATCTGATGGGGTTGTTGGAAATATTCAATGGCATAGTATATCTAAAGCATATAATACAGGGATTGGCAAATGAATGCATTAAAAAAGTGACATTGTGTTCTTATTAATTCTTATAGATATCTATAAGAATATATCAAGCTCTATTCCAGACACTGGACAAAATATTTTTAAAAAGGATAGTTTCTGCATTCAAGAAGGTCACAATCTAGATAAGACAGATGGACTGAAAACATCAATGCTCTGAAGACAAGTAAAATAAAGACTGTAACAGAAATACGAATAATGTACCCTAAGAAGCAGAAAATGGAACTGATGAGGGTGGAGGGGTTTGTGAGGACTCGAGTGGCTCAAAGGGTTGGCATTTGAGCTAAGGAAAAACAGCAGAGACTCATCAGACTTTAGGAGGAAAAGTTCTGCTACATAAAATAATCCAGGGAACAGAGGGCAGCGACTACATGGAGTCACTTGGTGAGATGGGGTGGAGAGGAAGGGTGAAGCCAACAAAGATGGCCTTGCCTACCAGACTTGCAGACCTGTCTCGATGAAGGAGATACCTTTATCCCTCACCTAGCACTTTCCTCATACCCCCCTCCACCAACCCCACAGAACCCACCCCACCTCCTTAGCAGACAGTGACAGGATACCTTGTTTAACCCACAACCCACTCCACTTAGGTATGTGCACTGGGCCTAGATGTCCCTCTGGGCACGTCCCATTAGAAGGGGATCAACCCTGTCAACTGCCTGGATGGTGCTCATTACTTCACTCACTCCTCTGACAACATGGATGAGCCAAACTGGGGCTTGGATCAGCCATTGACTCACCCAAGGTCACACAGCAAGTTCTTTACTGAGAAAAGGAAGTCATGGGTTCCAACCCTCCACCTCAGTCATCCTCACCTTCGATCGGAAAGACATTGGGTGGTATTCTCCAACCTGTGCTTTTTAGAGCCACTTCTGGGAAGTGATTTCTTGTGCAGGGGAGGAAATTGTAGTATTCAACCTTCCCCTCATTTAATCACAGCCAGGCGCTGGTGGAACACTGAGGCCTAGCACAAATCTCATCTGACACTAAACCTGCCTTTCACAGAACACTTTCACAGACACACTCAGCTGAGCCCCCCAGAAAGCCATGCAGTGGGTATTGTTGTATCTCTGTTTACGGATGGAAAGTGAGGCCAAGGAAGGGTAAGCAGCCTGTCCAAGGTCACATAGCATCCGAGGGGACTAAGAACCCATGTCTCTAAACTCCCACTGTACCATAATTTCTCAGCACGTGAGGGGGAAAGTGTTTTGAAAAATAAGAAATGCCATATGCAGTTAGGGGAGACTGATGACAAATCCTAACCTGGGAGGGGCAGAAATCCTTTCTCCACATCCCCTGTACTCTTCCTCTCTACTATCCTTCAATTGCTTTCTGTCCTCTCAAGAAGAGGAGAGGAGTCAAGGGAAAAGAGAAGTCAGAGAGAGGAGAGAAAAGGGAGCAAGGGATGAAGAGATGGAGCAGAGTGAGAATGGCAAAGTCAAAGGAGGGAAGACCCTGGCTAGCAGCAACCAGTGAATAGAGCAACCAGAAAGCAGGCCACATTTCTTTTCTATCTTCATTTCTCCACAAAGTTGTGAGGAAGTAAGAAGGTTAAGCAAGTAACAAGAAACTCATCATTTTGCCAGTAGCAGGTCTCAGGACCTAAAGAGGCTGCTTAGGGATAGGGCAGTGGGCAGAGAGAGAGCCCAGGTGCCTCAGTTTCCATTGGCTCATGCCCTGTGGCCTTTTGGTCACCAATGGGAGTGGAGCATGCAGAGGCAGCACATACTTGGTCCTGCTCTGAAGCACCCCAAAACTATTTCTTAAGTCTCAGACAACAGTGGTTCCACTCCACCCCTGGCCCACACCCAACTCTGGAAACAAACCTAGCCTCTTCATCCCAGCTTAAGCTACCCAGGGTAGGAGTGTAGGGAGAGGTCAGGGTTCAGGGAACCTGTTCTGATGGGAAGGAAAGAGGAGGAGATGGAGCTACCGTACTGGACTTCTGGTAAGGCTCTGTCACTTCCTAGCAATGGGATATTGGTCAAGTCACTCAACTTCCCTGAGCCTCAGTTTCCTTATTAGTAACATGAGGATGACATCTATCCTGCCAAACCTCCACCCTTCCTGCTTTGAAGGATTGGCAAGAATGGAGTAAGATGAGAGGAATGAGAACATCTCTTAAAAATAGGTACAAGGGAATTGTTAGACATTGAGGGGAGTCCCTATAGACACAGCTTGCTCCCTTTCCCAAATAGCTCACAGGCATGGATCCTGGAAAGAGGGAGGGAGGGAGGGAGGGAGGAAGGAAGGAAGGAAGGAAGGAAGGAAACTCACTGAAGGACCAGAGATCATAGGGTCTATTTAGAACAGAAAGCTTCAATAGTCAGTTAGACCTAGGGTCCCACAGATAGGGTGAGCAAGTATCCTTGCACCTCAACCTTGTGCACAGGGTGTGAGGGGCTGCTCAAGTTTCAGTGTTCCTACAGGGCAGGATGGGGGACATCCAGGCCTCATGCTCCCAGATAGGCAACTTGGTGAGAGCCCACAGCTCCCTACCAGGCTGCTCCCTACCCCGTTTGCGCCAGCAGGGCCCCTCCCGCACGGAATAGGACAGCTCCACGAACTCAATGTCCACGGCTGAGCGCTTGGGTAGGTGGGAGAAACGCTGGGCTTCTGTGATGTGGTTCTCCACCTTCTTCAAGTGCGTGGTCAGCACAGGGGGCTCCGCCCCATCCTCCAGCGCCACGGCCATGGCCACGGCCCCCGGCCCTAGTCCACAGCCCGCGGCTTCCATCGCCTTCTCCGCCATCATGCAGCCGGCCTGCAGGAAAAGGGCCTGCTCAGTTCAGGGCAGACCACCCCAGCTCCTGCTCAAAGCTCTCTTGCTTTCTAACGCTGCCCCACCCCCATATCTCCCCCGCCCCTTCCTTCTCAGGCCAGATCCCCAGCTGTTAGCACCCCACTCCCCTCCGGGTCCCCCAGCTCTATACTCCCAGCTCAGCGATGCCCAGTCCCAACCTCTCCAGCCCTTACCCGCCCCTCCCTCCCCGCCGTGGCTCTAATCTCCTTACCCCGCAGGCCAGCAGCCCCTGGAGACTGGGTGGGGGGCGGGGGAGGGGCAGCCGGGGGAGGCCGCCCAGTAGGAGGTCAGGGCAGCAGGGTGAGCGCAGGGTGGGCGCAGGGTGGGCGGGGAGAGGGTGAGGGTGGAGGGCGCACAAGAGATGGCTCTGGTCTCCCGGCGCGTCCCCTCTCCATGCCTGGGCGCTACTCCCCGGCGGGCCCCTCCCTCCGGCGCCCATGGCCCGGCGCATCCCCGGATCTCCCCAAAGACGAACGCACCACCCGGCCTCCAAACCCCCACAGCCAGCTCTGCGCCCGGGTGGCGGGCGCGACTCCCGCATCTCCCGCACGCCTAGTCACCTTGACGCGCCTCGGGGCCGGTGCGCGGCCGAGATGCTCAGCGCCGCCGCGGGCCGGAGATGGAGACTCCCGGGCTCTCCTTACCTTGCCTTCGGCTGCGGTACCGGCGCCCCGGCTCCCGGTCCCGGTGGCCCGGGCCGGGGCGGGGCCGGGGTGGGGCGGGCAGTCGGGGAGGGCAGGGCCCCAGGAGAGGTGATGACAAGGTTGGGGAGCGGCGGCTGGGGTCGCGCTCCCAGTCCGCTTGGCTGCGCACACCCGGTTCCCCGAGCCGGGTTTCCAGCGCTTACGTCCTCCCGAGCCCGCGGGGCGACTGCGTTCTCCTCCGAGCTACTGCTCGCCGGTCCCGCTGCTCTTAAAGGGCCCGTGACGCCCCACGACCGGCGGAGGGCGAGGATGGCGAAGACAAGAGCAGCGCCCCTGGAGCGAGGATTGACGGGGTGCGTTTGTGGACTCAGGACTGAGGGTTGGCAGCGATGGGTCAACTGGGGCGACAACATGAGGAGTCACCCAGTGGGGAAAGGTCCCTGAAAGATTGACTAGTGCAATGTCCATCTCTTAGGAAATTATCTGACACACAACATTCTATCCGCATCACTCTCCTCGGTTCTAGCCCTTCAGCCGAGGTTACTCTCCCCGCCCCAAACTAAGTACCTCAAAAAGTAGGAATCTAGGGACACTGGCACATACTCCATGCACCCCCATTCACTTTCTCTAAGGACTAGAACACTAGTTAAGAAGGGGCACAGGGTAGGAAGCTATGAGAGAGCTTGCAGGCAGCTCCAAGGTTAAACTTGTACCCAGAGTCCACCTGCTCCCACCGCAGAAATCTTTACTCTGAGAGCCAGATTCAGGCCTCCAAGATAGGCACATGGCTTGACCTGAGGGTACCCTTGTGCCTGGACATGCACAGGGCTCATAGACACTGCCTCGCACATCTCATACACAAGTGTATTCTTTCCCTCACCTCACAAGCTTGTATCCATCAGTCCCCAATGTGTTTAGGGTCTCCCCAGTCCTGGCCCAGTTTAGCCCCTTTCTCAGGCAATTCCTTGCTTGCCCTGACCTCTTTGTCTTCAAGGGATAAGTAGGTTAGCCAGTCAAGACAGTGACCTGAGCTTTTAAGTTCCCACCTGTCACACAGCAGAGAGGGCTGGGAGGGAGGCTGGTGAGACTGCTGGCACTGGTGGCACCACTGAGGCTTCTCCTGACTGTAGCAGTGGAGAGGTTACTAGCAGCCTCTCAGAAGTCCTGGAGGTTGGCAGCCCCTTCAGGGCATCTCAGATCTCAGGCTCCACCCTGAACTGTGAGGTTTCTATGGGTTTGGGATCCAGGCTTTCTTATCTTCCCTCCATCCCTGCCCCCCATCACCACTCCTCAGGACCAACCTTCCTGTTCTCCAGATGGATTCTGCATTCTCCAGATTAACCTCCAACGTTCCACCACTATAGACTCCCCATCCCCCAATGCTCAATAAGCGCATCCTCTAAGTAGCAGGCATTTTTCTCATTTAATCCTCATAAAATCTCGATGAGGCAGGTGTTTCAACCCTCCTTTAGAGATAAAGAAACTGAGGCATAGGAAGGTTAAGCAATATCTCCAAGGAGACTTGTCTAGTCAGTAGCAGATCTGGACTTGAATTGGTTCTCTTAGAACATTATAACCAAATGGATGGCCTTCTTTCACTTCCCAGACTGACTCTTCATCCTCCCCATCCATTAATTCTACCCTTCTCCATTCCCTGTCACACAACTTTCTAATTCCCAGGAAAGTTTCCTCCCCTTTCTGAGGAACACACCATCTCCCATTCCCTATCTTTGGAAACTGACATTTTCAAGTTTTCTATCAGCTTTCCTGTGGTGGGATTCATACCCCGTGCCCAGAGCAATAAATAGTCCTCAGCCTTGGTTGAGAGTTGGTATCTCTTGGCAGGGCTTTCGAAACTTGCCCTGATACCACTCCAGACCAAGTCATTCTCACTCTAGGAGTGAGACACAGGCATTAGTACTTTTAGAAGATCCCTGGTGATCCCACTGGGCAGGCCAAGCTGAGAGCCACTGTCTTAGATGAACCTTCCATTCCTTGGGTTAGAGCCCCTGGATATACCCAAGCCCCATCAAAGGCCACTTTCTTCCCTGGAATAGGCTTCCCCATTTTCTAGGACACCTCTCTTCATTCAGGAGCAGACCATCCATGTCCTGAGCTGGGGGTCAGAAGATCTGAAATCTTACCTTGGCACTATCTCTTATTAGTTCTACATTCTTTCTTCTTCATGTTCAAACATGAAAAAAAGAATTTTTTTGGCAGTACTGGAGTTTGAACTTCGGTCCTCATGCTTTTTAGGCATGAGCTTTACCTATTCAGCCACACCCCCAGTCCCATCCTTTAAAAAAAAAACCTGATGTCATATTTATGGGTTCCGGGTGATATTCCAATACATGTATATAATGTATAGTGATCTTATCAGGGTAACTTCACCTCACACATTTATCATTTGTGTTGGAACATTCAAAATTCTACTAACAGTTGTGAAATATACAATTAGTTGTTGTCAACCACAGTTACTCTACTGTGCTGTAGAATACTAGAATTTATTCCTCCTGGGCTGGGGATGTAGCTCAGTGGTAGAGTGTTTGCCTAGCATGCATGAGACCCTGGGCTCAATCTGTAACACATACCCACCCCCTGCAAAAGTTATTCTTCCTATCCAGTTGCACCCTGTACTGATTAACCATCCTCTCTAGCCTCTTGGCCCTCTGGTTTTGCAAAGTTTTCATGTTTAAAAATTTTTTTAATTTTTTGGGAGTACTGGAGTTTGAACTTGGGGCCTCATGCTTGTTAGGCAGGAACTTTATTACTTCAGCCACACCCCCAGCCCCAACCTTAAAAACAATTGATGTCATATTTACGGCATCAATTTCTTCACCTCTCCAGTCTCATCAGAGTAATGAGGATGATAAAATTACTATGTATCTGGCTAGGTGTGGTAGTACATGCCTGTAATCCTGACACTCTGAGGCGGAGGCAGGAGGATCTCAAGTTAGAGCACAGCCTGGGCACAGTTAGTGAGATCCTATTTAAGAAATAAAAGGGCTGGGACCATGGCTCCAGTGGTAAGATGTAGTATGGTTAGGGCCCAGATTCAATCCCCAGTACTAAAAAAAAAAAAAAAGACTCTCCAGGTCACACTTACCATGATTCAGGATCACTTCCTTTCCGCAGAAGAAATATCCCACTTCCTTGACGAAAAAGGGGGAAACTCCATTTATTGCATACCCTTTCCGTACTAGACACCCAGCACTGGGACATGATCATTGAGAAGGGACAGGTCTTTTGCCCCTGTATCCTAGAATTTGTATGCGGAAAATGCATTCATATGCACCCATTGTCTGAAGGTATACCCACTAAAACTTTTTGAGGTATTATTTTCCATGTTTTAGATGAGGAAACCGAGACTCAGAAAAGTTAATTAAAATGTGAGGTCACACATCTAGTGTGATGGGTGCCAGGTTTAAAACCCATCTTAGTGGTTTGAAACCATGGCCTTATCTACTATGTCAAACTTCCTTATTCCCTAATTAATACAATCTTTCCATTTTATTTTTTGATGGGACTGGGGTTCAAACTCAGGACTTCCTACTTGCAAAGCAGGTGCTCACAGAGCAGGTGCTCTACTGCTTGAGCCACACCTCCAGTCCATTTGCTCTGGCTATTTGGAAGATGGGGTCTTGCTATTTGCCTGGGCTGGCCTTAAGATCCTCCTGGTCTCAGCCTCCCAAGTAGCTAGGATTACAGGCATGAGCCCATTTTCTTTTTCTTTTCCCCCTTTGGCTGCACTGGGTTTGAACTCAGGGTCTCCCACTTGCTAGGCAAGCACTCTGCCAGTTGAGCCACTCCACCAGCCCCTTATTTTGTGTGCGGTACTGGGGTTTGAACTCAGGGCCTCACACTTGCTAGGCAAGTGTTGTTACCACTTGAGCCACTGCCAGCACCCTCTTTTATTTTTTTAAAAGGCCTTTTCTCTATACTGGAATAAAAACCAGAGTCTGGTGCATGTTAAGCAAGTGCTTTATCATTGAGCTACACCCTTGAACCCTCCTATTTTAAATAATGTAGATCTGTCTCCATTCCTCTGAATAGACCTCATTCATTCTAGAATACAGAACCTTTCCAACATGTCAGAGGTCCTCTACAACAGACTGTCTCTGTTTGGGAGCTCCTCCCTGCTCCCATAATATATCCTCTTTAATTCCTGAGAACACACACTTTTAAGTCCTGGGATAGACCTTGTAACTCATGAGCAGTAGTGTCAGACATTAGTGCACTGTAGAATCTTCTGGAGGGTTTGCTAAAACTCAGTGCTGGGCTCTACTGCCAGGATTAGTTCAGGATCTGGGATACAGCCAGACTCTACACCTTTAAGAGTTCCCAGGTGCTGCTGATGCTGCTAGTCTAGTGACATTTTGAGAAACATTGCCCAGTTAATCCTCAGAATATACCCTCTTTCCCAGATTTCCCCTAATGCCCAGATGGATCCTCCCCCATTTCCCCAAAAGACCCTCTACCATTCTCTAAGATTGATCCTCCTACCTCAGCACCCCCTCGCCCCATCACCAGGCAGAGCCTCCTTCCAAGGTAGGTTTTTAGACCCAGACACACAAGGGTTGGTGATAACTGGCTTAAGAGGAAAATTTTTATCTCAGCTTAGTGCTCAGAGCTAGTCTAACAGAGGGAGGCAGGGGTGTTGTGGGAGAAGTAGTTGGTAAGGAGCTGGAAAGTACTTCAACCAGACACTTTGGAACTGACTGTTCTGCTTCCACCACCTCTGCTCCTTCATCCACTGTGCCTGCCTCCCTTGCCTATAGTGACATCTCTACACAAGAATTGTAGTGTTTGTCAACAGAAGGACCCTCTGCTGGTCACTTGGGGAGGTGCAGCTCAGGATGAATGGATAAGAGCCCTCTCACCTTCCACCAGCCTGCAGATCTAGGTCAGTGTATAGAAGGATCACCAGCCTGGGGAACATAGTGAGATCCCTTTTCAAAAAAAAAAAAAAGAACTTTTAAAAAAATATAACATGTTATAGTTTGAATATGGTGTTCTCCAAAAAGGCTCATGTTGAAGGCTTGGTCACCAGCTGGTGGTGGTACTGAGGCAATTCATCCATTGATCAGTTGGTACTGAGTGAGCTATTAGGAGGTGGGGGTCTTTTTCCTGGCCACCAGGTGAACAGTTTTCATCCATCACACCCTTTCATTATGCTGCACTGCCTCTCCACAGGTCCAGACACAATGAAGTCAGCAGGCATGGACTGAAATCTCAGAAACCCTTCATTCCTTGTTTATCTCAGCAACAAAGACTAATATACATCATAAAGCAATTATCGTGTACTTAAAAGCTAATTCCTCTATTTTTCCCGTTATGTAGTTTCATGTCTTTTAGTGAGATGAAAAGGACTCTACAGAGCCCCAAGTTCTCTGCCAAGTCTCTTTCTTTTACATCTCCTTTTAGAACTTGAACTTGTCACACATTTGCTGTATATATGTATTTGTGAACCAGCTCAGAATAGATGTCTCCCCAGCTTTACTCTGAGGTCTGTTCCCCTTCCCTTAACATAGGGCAAATGGGGTACAGATACCACTAGCAGGTGTTCAAAATGACTCATTTCTCTTCTACTCCAAAGAACTCTTACTCAGCACCCTACTTCCCTGTGGACATACTCTGGACCCTGAATAGCTCCAATAAAAAATGTCCCATTTCTAGCCACGTTTAGAAGAGTACACCTATAATCCCAGCACTTGGGAAGCTGAGACAAGAAGATTACAAGTTCAAAGGCCAGTATGGCCTACAAAATAAGAACTAGTTTCAAAAAACCCTGAGAACATGTCCTTAACCTCTCCAGACTGACAGAGAAATAGGGTGCTGAGAAGTGGCTGAATAGGTCTAAAGAATGGTTCTCATTTTGAGGAATTACCACCTCTTTGAGAATCTAATGGAAAACAGATCCTTTCTCCAGGAAAATGTACATTCAGACACTATTGTCTTTCTTTTTTGCGGTCCTGGAGTTTGAACTCAGGGCCTACACCTTAAGCCACTCTGCCAGCCCTTTTTTGTGAAGGGTTTTATTGAGATAGGGTCTCTCAAACTATTTGCCTGGGCTGCTTTGAACCATGACCTTCCTGATCTCTTGCCTCCTGAGTAGCTAAGATTACAGGTGTGAGCCACTGGTTCCCAGCCAGACACAAGTTTTTAACTTGGCTCCTGGATCCCTCGAGTGCCTGGCATTCCCTGGGAGACCTCCAGTCTACCGTCCACCCTCATTTTCCTTTCCAGTCCCACAGCTCCACTCATAAAGAACGTTACCCTAGAGGCCAGGGTTCTAATCAGGACTGAGGTCAGCTGCTCTGCCTTCCTGGATGAGCCCCATTCTCCATTCATGGCTAAATGCCTGGGGCCTCCAGGCAGCTGGCAGATCTTCTAGAAGAAATGGACAAGTTCCACTAACAGAGAACACCATGACCGGCATTAAAAGGGTAAGAAGTCTGATTATTCAGCTCCTCCTCTGGGCAGCTTTATCTCCTTGTTTTCTAAGTAACTGCCACCATACATAAACAGGAAGAAATGAGTGATACCCCGTTTCTTTATTACCAAACACAATTCACACACACACACACACACACACGCACACGCAGTGCCTCCAACCCTGTCCCTGAGGATAACCACAATTGTTCATAGGGTGTAAGAAAAACCCTTAAGAGAGAAATAGTCACTTAATTCTCAATGCCTTAGCTGGTGTGTGGAAAGGGCCCTTGTAGAGACCAGTCACTCATCATCCCTGGACCTACAGACCCCTGAAGGATGGGAATGAATGTGAGTTGACTAGGGATTTAATCACTGTCTAGCACGTCAAGAGGGTTATGTTTAAGCTTGGTAACAGCACCCTGTAACAAAAATACACATTCAGGATCCCCATAAAATCCAATGTGGCAAAAAGGGAAGCTCTCAGAGTGTGTAGAATGATGCAAGCTTGGGTTAGAGGGGACCACACTGCTCTCAGCACCACTCCTGAAGGCATCAAATGTCAAGGGCTGCCTGCCCACTAGGGGCACTGCCACCTGCCTGGCTCAAGCCCCGAGGCCTGGGGTAGGAACGGTCAGGTTCTGCAGCCTTCACACAGTCTGAACCTCCGGCTCCTCAGTGGCTGGGGGAGGCTCTCCTGGGGCTTCAGACAGCACATAGTAGACAATCTCTCGCTGGCCTTGGGCATTGGTCTGATTCACCATGTGGATGACAGGGCTGGGGTTCTCCTGAGAGGCTGAGAGGGCTGGTCCCTCAGCACCCTCATCCTCCTCTTCTGCCTCTTCCTCAGGTCCTTGTTCCCCCAGCACTGTTTCTAGAATGATGCCCTGCAGGCTGCTCTCATTCAGTGTCACTCCCAGCTCTGATCCCTCCTGTGGCTGCCGCAGCAGCTGCTGTGTCAGCTCCACACTCTCATAGCGAACCAGTTGCAGTCGCATGTAGCCATCTTCATGCTCCTTGTACCTGGTGGAAGAGAAATATAAGGGGAACAAACAGTGGTAGGAGGATACTGAAATGCCTGGGGATGAGTGGGTGAAGAGACAAATATGAGGGATGAAAGAAATCCTGGGATTCGAAGTGAGGGGACTGAAGACTAAAAGGTCTTTATTGAAATATATCGAAGAAAGGCAAAAGGGAAGGGTTATTACTCAAAATGGTAAAGTTATCTGGGCACCGGTGGCTCACGCTTGTAATCCTAGCTACTCAGGAGGCAGAGAGCAGGAGGATCTTGATTTGAGATCAGACAAAGGCAAACAGTTCGTGAGACCCTATCTTGAAAAAAAACAACACAAAATAGGGCTAGGAGTGGCTCAGATAGAACCCCTGCCTAGCAAGTGTGAGGCCCTGAGTTCAAGATCCAGTGCTGTCAAAACAAAAAAAATGTAAAAATTTATATAGAAACTCAACCCCAAAGAGGGACTGTCTGTGAAAGGGTGGGGGTGTTAAAGGTTTCTGGGGAGGCCAAGGAACTGAGGGTCAGGATCCTCAGGCTCTAATTCTAGTTCTGGTTGCAGGATATTGGCACCACTTACTGGGTCTGGTACTGTTAGCCTGGATTTAAAAAAAAAAAAAAAAATCACAAAAGCATAATCTCTGTCTAAACACTAAGCACTATTCTCAGGGTTGAGCCTCAGTGGACATGGTGAACATCAATGTATCATAAAATTCAAGGTTTTTACATCTGTTGAAAAGGTATGGGAAAAATGTGTGGATCTGGGAAGGAAGAGTTGAGACATACCGAAAACGGGGGTGTCCTGAGGGCCACTTGAACTGGTGCTTCTTGCGAAGGTGCACAGTGAGGTTGTTGCCACGTGTGAAGCATTTGTCACACACATGACATTTGTACCTTGGCTCTGAGTCTCCCTGATGGGAAGGAGAGGGAGAAATAAGGCCGACTCTTCACCTTGGGCTCCCCAACTCTCCTGCTAGTCCTTCCCTACCACCAGTCCCAACTCACTTCATGCACTTTGCGGTAATGGGACTTGATGGAGCTCATCGACCGAGCACTGAAGCTGCAGTTTTCAAAATCACACCTGTAGGCTGACTCCTTGCTGTGGGTGTCCAGGTGCTTCCGGAGGTCAATCAGATTCTTGCAGCTGTCAGGAGAGGTCAGGAAGGGTTGGAGGGAATGGGGGACCGTGCAACACAAACTCTGTTTTCAAGCCCTTGCATCCCCTTACCTGTAGTCACAACAGTCACATTTAAAGGGCCGGTCCTCGCTGTGGCGAAAACGCATGTGGTTGCGTAGGGAGGAAGGCAGCGGGCAAGTCATGTCACACAGAGGGCATTTATAGTGATTCACTAGGGGCAGAGAGGAGGCTGTAACCAGAGGACTCATGGAACACTGTGGAGCAGGCAGGGAGGCTGGGGACGGCCACTCACCATGATTGCGCATGTGGTCTCGCAGTAGCCGCTCCGTGGCAAATCTCTTGGAACAGTGAGAACACTGGAAACGCTGCTCTGAGGTGGAGTGGGCAGAAGAAAGGGGGAGTATGGCGGACAGTGGAAAGGCACAGAGAGGAAAGGGGACCATCCCAGGCAGAAGGGAACCACCCAAGGAGCAAAGGGGAGCTTAGGGAGCTATGGATGGGATGTGGAGTCAAGAACCTGAGTTAGAAGCCCGGCTTTACCACTTACTAGCTGTGTGATCTCAGGTAAGTGATTTAACCTCTCTGAGCCTCAGTTTCCTCATCTGCAAAAAGGGGGATAAGAAGCCTACCTCATGGGGTTGTTGTGAGGATTCCCTGAGTAACTGATAGGGCACCTAGCAGGTGCTGAATAACAATAGACTGGTAAGTGCCTGAGCCCACAAGGGGAGAGGGAGCCAAGTTGCAGATCTTCAGCGGCCACCTTCCCTGGGAACATGCCCCAACCTCACTCTAAGCAGACAGCCCGTACCCACCCCCTTTTCTCTGACTGCTTACGATCCAATGAGGTCTGGCGCCGGATGTGATCAAAGAACTTGGTGTTGTTGGCAAACATGCCCCCGCAGGTGGGACAGGCCACCACCTTCTCCTGGGTGTGGCTGCGGAGGTGCTCTCGAAGCTTGTAGCGGTCCTTGAAGGTGCAGGTACAGCCTGGGAAGAAACGCCTGGTCAGACCTCACCTCAACCCCCCGAGTAGGCTCTGGGACCAGAGTCTCCCCAGCTAGCAGCCAACCTTTTCTTGTAGCCCATCCCTGGCTCCCTAGCCCTTTATTGCCCCTTGACTTTCAACCAGAGGCCAGAGTGAAGGAGTGGCCCTACCTTTCCAGTCACACAGCACCACATGGTTGTCCTTGCCGACCGTTTGGTATTCACAGCACAGACTGTGTGCTTCCACGTGCCGATAGAACCACTCGGGATTGTCGAAGGAGCTCTGTGCCAGGGCAACTTGGGGTAAGGACTGAGAGTGGGTGAAAGGACTCTTACCCCTAATATGTCCAAGGGTGGGGGGCTTCTTGGCTCTCTCCCAAATGAACTTGGCAGGGATGGGAAAGTTTGAGGAAAGAAGTTACCCAGAAATAGAGAGATTCTAGCAGGAGTCTCAGAAATATAAAGCACCCCAGAAAGGTTCAAGGTATCTTAAGATCCCCAGCTTCCTTCCACCCCTATTTCTGGCACTGTGTGCTGACCTCACAGTGTTCCCACAGACACAGGAAGTGGTCAGGGATGTCAGGGATGACATTCCGGCTCTGGAAGTCCAGGATGCAGGGGCTTAGGTCAGCCTGACTTTGCAAGGCCTGTAGCCCCACTGCTTCAGCTTGGTGTGGTAGCAGTGGAAGTAGACATGGCGGATGAGGTCAGCAGAGCTGTCCAGAGAGCAAAAGCCACATTCTTGCCATGAGCAGGAGAATTCTTCCTCTGCAGAAAGGGTTTAGAAGGAAGAGTCTGATGTTTTCCAGGGCTCAGCTTACCTTCCACCTGAGGCATTTAGCAGGACCCTGACCAAGTTACCAGGAATTCATTCATCAAATTCATTAAATACCAATATTTAATGACCATCAATTGTGTGTCAGGCACTGGGAATGTAAGAATGAGAACCCTAGTCCTTGCCTTCACATCACTTTCAGTAGGGGGTAAAAAAAAAATCACATCTATAAATATGGAGGTGGTGGGTATGTGGTACTGTGAAAGTATTAAACACAAGTAGTTTGATGTAGACAGAGGTGTCTTGGGAAGTACCCCCATGTTGAGAGCTGAAGGATGGGTACCTATAAACAGCCTCAGCAGACGTGTGAGGTACAAGTATGTGCAAAGCCTGTGTTAGAGACTCAGAGACAGCAGGTGTTACTGGCATGCACAATCCCTGCTCAATTTCTGCTGGTCCCTGAGAAAGATGCAGCCTCCCAGCTCCAGAAAACCCGAGTCTTACTTTCCCTCCTGTTCTGCTGGAGATCTGCTTTCTCAAGGAAGGACCCATCAACTATTCCAATCCACTTCTAAGTGTTTTCAATACTTAATAGGAAATTGCTTGTTTTGAAAAGTAGATACTTATGAAAATATAATCATCCCCTAATTTCATTTTTGGTCGTACTGGGGTTTGAACTCAGGGCCTCATGCTTGCTAGGCAGGTACTCTCAATTTTGTATAAATACTGACTTTCAAACTATCAGAGTTCATAGTCTAACCCTAACCCTAACCCTCCCTTAACCCTAAAAATTTGGGGTGGGGAAAGACAGCTGCTTCCATACTTTCTGTAAAACAGTTTCTCAAACTGTTGTGACCCATTCATTAGTGGGTGGTAAAGTTAATATGGTAGACTACATATTTTTTTAATAAAGAGAATAAGAACATTACAGAGAGCACCTAATAAATGTAATTTGTTTACTTTTTTTTTTTTTTTTTTGGGTGGGACTGGGGTTTGAACTCAGGGCTATGCATGTACAAAGCAGGCCACATCTCCAGTCCATTTTGCTCTGGTTATTTTGGAGATGGGATCTCTTGAACTATATGTACACGGTGGCCTTGAACTGGGATCCTCTTGATCTCAGCCTCCCAAGAAAGTAGGATTACAGGTGTGAACCACTGGCAGCCGGCTCTTTAACCTTGGTCTATAGGGTTATGATATAAAAAGCACTCTTATTTTTAAAAAATGTGGGGAGGGGCTGGTCATGGTGGTACATGCCCATAATCCCAGCACTTGGAAGGCCAAGGCAGGAAGACATAAAGTTTGGCTGGGCATCACTGGCTCATGTCTGTAATTCTAGCTACTCAGGAGGCAGCGATCAGGAGGATCACAGTCAGAAGCCAGCCTGGGCAAATAGTTCAAGAGACCCTATCTTGAAAAATCCATTCACAAAAAAAGGCTCTGTTGGATTGACTCAAAATGTAGGCCCTGAGTTCAAACCCCAGTACTGAAAAAAAAAGAAAAAGAAAAAAACACTACACACAAATGCACACGGATTGCTAATAGCAGTTGTTTTTTTTTTTTTTTAAATCTAACCACAATTATCTATATTTAATATACATGCACAGGCACAGGCACAGGGAAGCCAAAAAGAATGTTTCCTAGGGTACCGTCAGTAATTGCCTTTTGGGATTGGATACTTGTCTACGTTTGTGAGGAACTGGGTTCAATCCCTAGCACCGCAAAAAAAAAAAAAAAAGTAATTGCCTCTTGATGGCAGAATGGCAATTGTTCTTATATCCTTGCTGATTGAATTCTCTACAAATGAATCTACAACATTTTTATGAACAAGCACAATTAGGAAAATAAACTACTCTCCCAGACTGCCTTTTCTCTTTGGGGAAAAGAAAGTCAGATTTGTTACCTGCCCTTGAATTCTTTCCCCTTTCTGTGTCCTGCTCCCTTACCAAGTGGGTCATCGTCCTCCTCCTTTTCCTCCTCCTCCCTAGGCCCACGCATATGCTGTAGGTGCTGAGTGACGTGCTCACAGAACTCTTCCATGGCTGAGCACACAAAGGAACAGGACCCCCACTCACACTGGAGCCCCAGGTTTTCCTTCCGGGGTCCTTTCCCAGGAGGTGACATGGCCTTCACCCTAGAAGAACGGGAAGAAATCCACAGATGCAAGGGTTCCACCCCAGGACCACTGGGTACAATAGTGGGCAGGCAGCCTGCAGAGGATTAGCTGGTTTTTTTGTCAGTGACCCTGTTTTTTTTCAGTAAGGATGGAGCAGCTGTTCCTCACAGCCCTGGAAGCTGTCTGGTGTTCTGGGAAGAGAAAACAAAAACAAAAACTAACACTACTGAGCATGTGCCAGGCGCTGAGCAGATCACTTTAACAGACGTTTTCTCATCAAGCTTCAGCATGGTCTGCCAAGTAATTACTCCTATGGGAGGCAGAACAACGGTCAGGTTCAAAGAGATGACTTTGGAGGGGCCAGAGTTAAAAGCCAGACCGCACTATCTACTACCTACTAGCTCCGTGACTGTGACCAAAAGGGGGATAACAAAACTTTTTCTTCTGAACTTTACACTTACTATATGTCAGATGCCATATTAAGCATTTTATTTATGTTGTGTCATTTAATTTGCAACACTACCCTATGAGATAGGCACCATTTTTAACCTCTTTTATAGATAAAAGACATGAGGCTGAAAAAGGTATGGTCAGATCAGGTTGACTCCAAAGTTTGTATTCATAGTCTTTCTACCTGATATAGCCTACATATGGCTGGGACCCAGAAGCTCCGTATTTCTTACTGGATTATGTCATCAAGTTCCCTGCTGTGCAATCTATATTTGCCTAGCCTATCCCATAGTGGACTCCATCACTCCCTTAACATGTTTGGTTAAAATGTACATTCCACTTGAACATAAGAAGCCCATATGTCTCATTTATACCACACCTTGCATGTCTCTGCAGTGCTAGGTATATTTAAGCAGGTAATAAATACTTATGAAGAAAAACAAAACAAAAGTAAAGTTTTTCTTGTTTTTTGTGGTACTGGGGCTTGAACTCAGGGCCTTCACCTTGAGCCACTTCACATGCCCTATTTTTGTGATGGGTTTTTCGAGATAGGGTCTCTTCAACTATTTGCCCGGGCTGGCTTCAAACCGTGATCCTGCTGATCTCTGCCTCCTGAGTAGCTAGGATTTACAGACATGAGCCACCGTACCCGGTTTAAAAGTAAAGATTTTTTTAAATGTTCTTGCAAGGTGCTGGAGTTGTGACTCAATTGTTATAGCACCTGTCTAGCAAGTGTGAAATCCTAAATTCAAACTCCAGTACCAAAAAAAAGTATAAAAGTTCTTGGAAGGACAGAGGAGGCTAAAAGGCCTTCCTGACTCTGACTCCTGGAATTCACCTTCTCATTGGGGATTCTCACTGATTCTTGGTAACCTCACCATGGTGGACCAGGGTATTGCTCCATCTGGTCTGCCCAAGATAGGTGGGAACTCCTGACAAAGACTTTCACTAAATATTCAGAGGGGGAAAAAAAAACAGAGAAAATACAAAACCCATAAAATCACAGCTTCAAATGAGTACATGCTTCTGAACCTACTAAACTTACATAGCCTCTTCTCTGAGAAAAATCTGGTCACTCTTTTTTTTTTCTTTTTTCTTTTTTGGTGGCACTGGAGTTTGAACTCAGGGGCTCACACTTGCTAAGCAGGTGCTCTTTATCGCTTGAGTCACCCTGCCAGTCCTTTTTTGTGATGGCTATTCTTCGAGATAGGGTCTCCCAACTACTTCCCCTGGGTTGGCTTCGAACCTTGATCTTCCTGATTTCTGCCTCCTTTGTAGCTAGGATTACAGGTGAGCCACCAGTGCCCAACAAAGAATCTGGTCACTCTTGACACTCATGGGTGAACATGGGTTTGCTGGACTGTTCTGAGACTCCTCTCAAACTGGCCTCCACTTACCTATTCCGGGCCTGGGTAAGGAAACTAATAAACACTGAGGGCTCCAAATTGTGTTGGCCCTGTGGTAAACCCTCTCCAAGCTTCACTTTATTTGGTATAAAGACCGTGCTATATTCCCCCATACCCTGCTACTACTTCTCTGGCTTCCTCACCCATATGTTCATTCTCTTTTCTTCACCGATTCAATCTTTTATTTATTTGTTTATTTTTGGTGGTACTGGGGTTTGAACAACCTCACACTTGGGAGGTAGGCACTCTACCACTTGATCAGCACGGGAGTTTTGACCTGCTCCATTTCCGACCTGGGCCAGTTCACCCCTCCTTAGGCAACCTGGTGGTCCCCCGCTCCCGGGAGGTCACCATATTGATGCCGAACTTAGTGCGGACACCCAATCGGCATAGCACACTGCAGCCCAGAACTCCTGGACTCAAGCGATCCTCCTGCCTCAGCCTCCCGAGTAGCTAGGACTACAGGCGCGCGCCACCGCACCCGGCACTACCACTTGAAACATTCTGTCAAGTCCTGTTTTGTGCTGGGTATCTTCAAGATAGAGTCTCAAGAACTATTTGCCTGGGGCTGGCTTTGAACCACTATCTTCCTGGTCTCTGCCTCCCAAGTAGCTAGGATTACAGGCATGAGCCACCAGTGCCCATCTTTATCTCTGGATGCACTACATTCTCCTAAAACTCTCTGCCTAAGCAACTTCTACTCAACCCTTAAACCCAAATGCCCCTTCCTTAGTGACACTTTTCCCAACTCATCCAGGAACAGGTGAAATAGCCCATCCCCTGGTCACCGCAGTCCGTATCCACCTTTGTTATAACACTTGTTCTAATGCAATAGAATGCTGGTCTCCCCTAGATTAACAGTTTCTCAGGATGGCAACCATCCAGCGTGAGTTCTGAGCTTTGAACCCCCAATATGCTCAATAAATACAGGAATATAATCACATTTCAGGAAGCCTTCCTCAGTGACCTCTTGCCTCTTGGTAATAAAGCTGGCACAGTTGACACCATAAAACCTCAACCCTGTATTTATGCTGCCTATGTCACTCTTGGTCCTTTTAAGTGTCTACTTTTGTTTAGCTAACTGGGCTATCAGTTGCTTCTGAGCAGAAACCATACAATGACTGTTTATGTCTGTAAATTATGCTGCACATAGTGCCCAGCAAATATTCTGGTATACACTGGTAGGTAAGATCCAGAAGGCAGGCTAACCAGCAATCCTGAGTGATCTGAAACTCAAGTGAAACTCTTCAACTCCATAATTCACTGTCCCCAGCCTTATTTAATTTTTCTCGGTGTCCCATTTCTACCGTGGGAGATATGTGACAGAGTAACTACATAGTCATTACTCCACTCTCTGAAGGAAAATACAAATGAAGTAACTAGTATACTGGAGAGGACACTGGAGCAGCTGTCAGAGACATGGCAGTGCACACTTGTAAGCCCAACTACTAGGCACTTGGAGGCAGGAGGATCACAAGTTTGATGACAGTCCAGGCAATGTTATTGAGACCCTATCTCAAAAACACAATACATACAAAAGGGAGCTTGGCTAGGACTTGCCTAGCAAGTGTGAAGCCCTGGGTTCAATTTCTAGTACCTCAAAAAAAACAACAAAAAAGTTTCTTGTGTCAATGAATTTGCTCTGCCTAGTAAGAATCTATTACAGTAAGCACTCTTTGTTAGCTGATTTATTACACATGGTTTTGACCAAAGATGGGTCAATACATAAATAAAACAAAAATCAAAAGAAATTTTAAGCCTGGTGCTGGTGGCTCACACCTGTAATCCTAGCTATGGAGGAGGCAAAAAGAAGGAAGATTGAAGTTTGAAGCCAGTACAGGCAAATAGTTTGAGAGATTCTGTCTTGAAAAAAACCCATCACACACACAAAAAAGACTGGTGGAGTGGCTCAAGGTGTAGTCCCTGAATTCAAACCCCAATAATGCAAAAAAAAAAAAAGAAAGAAAGAAAGAAAATTTAAAAACAAAAACTTTTAAATTCCCATGAGCATTACGCAGTTCAGTTGATGTGGAGAAGCTCTCAGTGAGTCCTCCATTATCATCAGTTGTGTTTAAATTGTGTGATCTGCTATTTCCCTGCCTTTAATTTTGTGAAAATCTGCCTCCCAAAAAGCAAATGGTAACCAAAAGCAAGGTAAAAATGAATATGTTTAAGTGACAAAGTGAAAATTTGAGATTGGTAGAAAGGTGGCATGTCTGTAGCAGAAGTTGGGTAGTGGTGTGGGAAAAATTAATCAACATCCACAGTACAGTACAGAGCATGCGTGGTTCTTCCTCCATGGCGGTCTCCTTGTTACCATCTACCCAAGGATACCAAAGGTCTACTGTATATGCCAAGCACTGTTCTAGGTACTTTATAAGTTTAAGAGCTCATTATACAATCCTATTTGAGGTAGATACTATTATCATAGAATTTTACAGGTGAGGAAATGAGCCCAGATACATTAAGTAATTTACAGGTCACAAAAGCTAGAATGTGATGAAGACACAAAGCCAGGGAGATTGGCTCCATTTTCCTCTTACACCTGTCTGTCTTACCCCTCCTGTCTTGACTCCCTCTCCACACAGACATCATATCTATACACACAATACCTGTTACACATTTTATTAAGCAGTTATTTTGTCAGTTTTCCCCAATTAAGCTTAGGCTCTAGAATGTCTGGCCTGTGCCCTATTCAGTTTTATCTGCAAGGCTATCATACACCTACTAGAAGTAGTATTTGTAGTTTTTGCTTTTAATTTTTTTTAATTTCTTTTTTATTTTTGATGGTACTGGGGTTTAAATTCATGGCCCTGCACTTGCCAGGCAAGGGCTCTGCCACTTGAGTCACACCTCCACCTGTTTTGAGACTTGAGTCACACCTCCACCTGTTTGGAGACAGGGTCTTGCTACGTAGCTCAGGCTGAACTTTAACTTGCAATTCTCCTGTCTCAGCCTCCCAGGTGCTGGGACTACAGGAGCACACTACCATGCCCAGATCTCTTGCAATGTTCTGTTGGCTTGATTTTTCAGTGCTGGGAACCAAACCCAGAGCTTCGCACAGGCTAAGAAAGTGCTACATGTGGGGAAGAGCTACATCCCCAGTCCTCTCACCATGTTTAAGGAAGCTTGTAAATCACTTCTTTACTTTGGACACATCATAGCTAGTCCTGAAAATGCTTTCGTTAAATATAAAATGGGGACAGGCGCTGGTGGCTCACGCCTGTAATCCTAGCTCTCAGGAGGCAAAGATTAGGGGGATCGAAGTTGGAAGCCAGCCTGGGCAAATAGTTCGTGAGATCCTATCTCGAAAAATAACATCAGAAAAACAAGGCTGGTAGAGTGACTCAAGGTGTAGGCCCTGAGTTCAAACCCCAGCACTGAAAAAGAAAAATGGAAAATGGGACACTAGTATTAGCCCCCACAGATGCTGTCAGACTCAATGGATCTAGTTTTACAAAGCTCCAACATTTATTAATACATGATCTTAGGTAAGTTACTTGAGCCTCAGTTTCCTATGCAGCTCAGGAATACTTACACACATTTCATTAAGAACTAGACAATGCTTAGCTTAATACAACAGTAGAACTCAACACGTGTTAACTCTAAGCATCATTACTGCTGGAGGGCGAGATGATCTACAAAAAGGCCAACAAAAAGACAACCTGCGGGATCCTAACATTTCTTTTCATCGGGAGTCATAGTAAGAGCCAACAAACTCTTAAAATAGTATACATTGTATCTCAAGGCACTGAGTGAACCCTGAATGCTATACAAGAAAAGAAGGCGCTGAAGTCCTAAACTTCTAAGGACTCACAGTTTGACCAAACAGGTGAAGACTCTGATGCCTGAAAATCACGACCAAAACAAAGCCCCAGACGAGATCAGGACAAACAAAAATCCTGGTGGGCAGCGAAAGAGGGAAGGCTCGCTCGGCGGTAAGGCCTAGATCAAGCCTCGATGGACCGGGAGATTTCGGAGAGACACAAGGCGACCGTCCCAGCAGGCAAAACCTCCCCGGCAACCCTGCGGGGCTTCCCGGAATCCTTTCCCTTAAGGCGTGGCTATGAACGAGCCTCGGAGCAGATGAGAAAGCAGGGAGGTACCAGTCGGTGAGAGGGCACCAGTGTGGCCGAGCTGCAAGACGAAGAGCCTGGCCTTCTGCATCCCCGGCAGAAAGCACCCCCTCGCAGCACAGACCCCTAACTTACCAAGCTTCAGCTCCGGGGCTCTCCAGCTCTCCACCCACCTCAGACCTTCTACCCGGAGGGCGCTTGAGTGACGGCCAGCAGCAGCCAATCGTCGCTCTCCGATCAATCGACTGGCGGCCAATGGCCGCTGCGTCTGACGGAATCCGTGCGTACCAAAACACGGAAGGGGCGGGAACGGTGGTTGGGGCTCGGCGTCCACGGCGGGAGTGAGGGGCGCCGGGATGAGTGGGAAGGTAGCTCCAGCCGGCGCCACGGAGCTTCTCTCTGTACGGGGGCGGGAAACCTAGAGGCCTCCACTGCGCAGACTCGGCGCGCGGGACCCAGTGGGCATGCGCAGGGGTAGGGTGGGCGTCCCGTAGGGGTCTCCTAGTTGACCGGCTGCAGTGTCTGGCCACGTGAGCAGCGCCTAAGAGAGTGCGTGGGAGGCTCGCTGACCAGCTTTGTCACCTGCCCCACGCAAACTGAGGGACCCTGCCGCCATGTTTCCTTTTCTGCCTTGGCCTTCTCTCTTAAATACTGTTATTCCCGTGTCTGCTGCTCTTCCCTTCCCCCACTCTGCATCTCAGCCTCGCCTGATTTGAAGCTTAATGAAGGACCAGCCATCCGTTAAGGAGGGAGAGGGGTGGGGGTTCCACAGCTTCCCAGTTTCCACGCAAAAATCCCAGGTCCTTGAGAAAGGACCACGTCAAAGCATTTCAAGGTGTCTCTCAAGGAGGAGTTTAATAAGGTGTTAAGTTTTAGGGAGGACTTACTTTAGTATAGCAGGATAAAATATTGGGGGGGGGAAATAGTTCCTGCTCCCCACTCAGGAAATGGGAGTAAAAGAGTCAAAATAGTGTTCAGTATCTGAGGTCTTGGACTTTGTTGGGATGGGGAAATACACATCATCAAAGTTTTAACAACCCTAACCATTAGATCATGGCTGTGAGTGCCCGAAATGAGTGCTGTTTATTATTGTAAAATATCCAGGCCAACCCCAAACATGGGAAAATGGGAGTAAAAGAGTCAAAATAGTGG